CTTATGGCCTGCCACGAGCGAAATGATCTTGATCCCATCCCGCTGGACGTGCACTTTTTTTTATTCAAACGCACTTTCTATTCAAATGGTATATATTTTTGTTATTATTATTATTATTATTATTATTATTAGATTTTTCATCGCTTCACTCAGCATCACACACTTGTTGGGACTTACCGACGCACTCGTTGGCCTCCCTGGCTGTGGCTCTTTGCCACGGTCTGTCGTAGTGAAAAGGTTTGCACCTGTCGCACTCCGGCCCGGCGGTGTTGTGTTTACAGTCGCACACCAGGCTCCCGTCGCGGTCCTTTACGCACCGGGACGCGTGTCCGTTGCATTTACATCTCCCTCCGACCTGCAGGTCCGACACGGCGTAGAAGTAGGAGTCCCGGGCCAGCTCCGAGTCGTCTTCGTTCTCGTCGCCGAACGTGTGCAGGCGACTGAAGATCACCTTAATGTCCGTGGCCGTGACCCAGTCCTGTAGCACCGGGGAGTTGTCGAAGTCGTGCGCCGACGGTCTGCCGTCCAGCGTACTGAAAGCGATCAGGCCGCCGGTCAGGGGGTACATGTCAGTGTGGGAGTCCGTGCAAACGGCCTCCTGCTCGTTCTGTTTCGTGATAACGGCCCTGTTGGGTTTGTTGTACATCTTCCTGCACTGAGCGGAGTAAAACTGAAAGGCGACCCACGTTTTCCCGTTGTCCATGGATTTGTATATGGCCATGGACTCGGGACGCGGGGAGCAGAACTGGAGGCTCACGTACGTGACTTCAAACTTCTTGCCAAGGGACAGGGTAAGCGTGACATTTAGCGGGAACTGGATGAAGTTCTCGGACTGCCAGCAGGTGAGGTTGTGAGGGTTGTTGAGATCCGTCAGATACGCGGGCGGGTGATACTTCTTGGGGTCCGACGCGTCACAGGTGTGACAGTTCCTGGTCCTCTCGTCTCCCTTCTCCGCGGATGTCACCACGCAGTAGCGGCCGGGCGTCTTGCCGCAGGTGCTCGACACGCTTACTTCCTTCCCGAAGGCGGAGTTGACGAAGTCCGGGATGCAGCGCCGCGGGTTGCCGTGCTCGTCGTAGCAGGGGTCCGGGGGAGAGGTCTGCGCTGCGAACAGGCTCATCCCGTAGCCGCCGACTGCGCCCGGGCGAGACACGGACAAAGCGAGCAACAGCAGAACCACATCCCCAGCCCTTGTCATGTTAAGTCCACAAGTGTGTCCGAAACTAGAGAAGAGTGGGAACACAGGATGAGAGTGAAGGAAAGAAAAAAACCAAGAGAGAGGAGGTTATTTTCTCTGTAATTTAGAAGCTTTATATTTAAAAAAAAGATAAAGATATCACCATATAGCCTACAACGCCGGTTATGTATAGTTATCTTACCTGAAAATAATTTAATGTGAAAGATACCGTCAAAAGGTACACTTCTTTTCCTAAAACAAGCTCCTCTTGTTTTTGGTTGTTTTGTTACTTCCAAGATTATATGCAAGAAACAGAGGAGCGGCTGGACTTTCGAGTTGCTTGTGTCGTTATAACAAGTCCCACTCCTCCTGTCGCTCTTTTTAAAAATCCCTCTCTCTCTCCCCCTGCCGCTCTTTCACTCGCGAAAATCTTACTTGGCACCGGTTTAGGTCAGCTCATCCTGCGGTGTGTGACACTGAGCGGAACAACGACGTCCACTGGTGGCGCATCAGAAGACTAACGCTCGGAGATACGCCAAAGTCTTCAGGAGGAGAGACAAATCATTTCCGTAAGTCTGTCTCAACAACACGTAAGACACGAACATGGACCGCTTTGAACGAAAATATAAGGATTAATATGAAATTACTGGCACGATTAAAAAACAACTATAGCCTCGCCCTCGTGCCATGCTCATGTTTCTCCAAATCCGCACAACAGCAGCCGTGGTCATCTGGTAAATTAAAGGATCATGTCACAATTTTAAAAGTTCTTGGTGATGAAACCATGGAGTCAAACAATTTGAGAAGAGCAGACGCCTCCTATCGGAAGTCTTTTGGGATACAAAATTACTTTTTAATGTATGATGGCCATATTGTGAGGATTTTTTTTTTGCAGAGCAGGTTTGATGGAGTCATTAAGCACTTCATAATCCATCCTAAATAGGGAAGTTTTATTGGAGTTTGGAAGCTGCTCCAACATACCTGTTGCTTGTCAGTTCTAGAAAGTTATGGCGCCATCTTGTGTCTGTTTAAAGAAAGAACAGGTTAGCGCAGTGAGATGTGCCAAAGTCTTTAGGCGGTCATAAAACCTGCTGATTAAATAACTAAAAACTATTATAAGTAGCTTACTATTACTGTGCTGGAAGGCAGAAATCACTCTCTCCGTGTAGTTTATCGGCCTCTGTGGTAAAGACCTTCTTAAACTTTTTGGAAGTAAATTTTTAACTTTACCCAGTGATGAAATCTACTGTTTTTTTAAAAATACATTTAATTCTTTCTAATTTCCGTAGAATCCTCACTTACCTGTATATTCCAGCTGCATTTGGATATTCCAGTCATGCCTCAACAAATAAAGAAGCACCAACAAGTTTGGTTGATTAGGGGCAATGCAAAATCAATTTCTCTCTCTTTTTTTAATACTTTAAATCATTTTGTTTGCAGCAGATTTTTGCCTCATCAAATGATTCCAGATACGTTTTTTCCAATAACTCAACCAGCTTGTCCACCCTTTTGAGGCAAGCCTGAAGTTTACGTTATAGGTTTTGTCAAAAAAGAATAAATTGACTTATTGTGCATCCATATCAAACAGTTTCAGATACTCCAAAAATGTAAATAGTAATACTAATTTTGAATTTCCACTAGGGATGAATTATTTTTCTATGTATATTTCTAATGTGCGGCTCACCCACAAGACATGGGTAACTTATTTTTTTAGTGTCCTACATTTTCTAGTTTTCTTGACCTAACCTTTCTTTTATCATGAGACAGTCAAAGACAGTCAGATTAGGTCCACATACAGAAATGCTCAAAAACAAAGGACAAACATGAGCACATTAAAGTGCCAAAATACTTGAAACTGTGGCCACTGGGCACTCCGAGAAATCTGTGAATTGTAAGCCTGGTGAAGTTAAGGCTGCAATATTTCACTTGGCTTTTAGACTTTGACTCATTCTTCCCAAGATTGACATAACAAATATACAGGGTATTTCTGAGCTACATCTGTATTATCCATACACAAACACACACACACACAGATATACATATATATACCATCACAAATGTAAATCCCATATTTTGGTTTCTGCCAGCACTGTCTCCTCAAGGTCAATTTATTTATTTTATTCAAAATTCTACATTTCTGATCTGTTTTTCTTTTTTACAGGTATTTTATTCCTATTTGTTTATAATTTCCATATATCTGTATTTTCACTTGGGTATATTTTAATTAAGGACTATTTTATTCTATTTCTTTGTATGTTTGCAATATTCTCTCCTAGTTTTCATGGGTTCTCTCTGGGTTCTCCAACTTCCTCCCACCGTTTGAAAACATGCATGCAAGGTCTGTCCCTCTAAAGCTGAAGTGCCCATATCCAGTCTTTCCCTGCCTTCAAATACGTAACTGATTAGATTTATCAGTTCAAAAGCTCTGCATAAACCTGCTAATTGACTCAGTTGTGCTGAAGGAGGGAAACTTCTAAAGGCCTCAGCACATTGGCTGTTGTGAACCGACATTTGGCACCTTAACTTTATATTGGACATTTTCAGACTATACTGGAGTACCAGTTCCAGAAGTGATTAGGTATAGATAGCGTTTAATTTTACCATTGGAAAAAAATTATTATCTTTGGTCTTGTAATTACAAATAAGATGGCATGCATAATTTTTGATGGCTAAAGAAGCCACGATTACTTTAACCTGGTCAATTTCATTATCAACCTTTAAATCTACTAAATGTCTTTTCTAAATATACTAAGAAAGTGTAAAAACTCTGTCATGGTTTGATCAAATGCTGACTTTAAAATAACTTGATTTTTTTTATTGTAATTCTCTGTAGAGTTTTCCACAGAAGACCAAATATTTGGTTATACTAAGAGCGCAAAGTTATTCGTAGATCTAATCAGAGTGAAACAGGGGCTTTAAGAGCTAAAAACTGTTTGCTGCTGCTGTTTTTTTATGACTCGTCACCACCTCATAAGAAAGGGGAATTCACAGAACTAGATATTATGTAAATGACAGGCAAATCAGGAAGGGGATGTAGCATTTCCCTGACAGAGAGGGATCCAGAGCAAATATTTATTATACATTTTGTTCGCCTTCTACATAATTTCATGAAACTGTATCACGAGAAGATTTAAAAAAGCTCAAGAAAAGCTGGATGTTTGAATTTTGTTATTTTTCTGTTCAAAGTGAAAATCTATGTACAATATTTTATTACAGGTGACAGCATTTTGCATGTGCATAGTTGACCAGTTGATCAATAGTTAATTCAGTATTTTAGTCTCTGACTGAAAAAAAAAAAGTTAAAATCCTGAGGTATTTTTTGTATGAAAACCAGGTCCAGAATAAATAGCAAATAATGAACAAAGCTTTCCATTGAACAGATGACTTCCCATGGGGGGCCCAACACATCCCTTCAAAATCACAAATCACATACAACCTCTTGAACGCGTATGTAGCCTGCAGATACACGCATGCACTTCCCACTTTTTGCAGTCACGTAACAGCACGAGCAGCCTGCCTCCGGCATTGTGCCGACTTGCCCCTCACTCGTACAGTTTCCTGTTTGCTATGTGCGAGCAGCATTACCCTTAGGGTGTGCGCAACGCGAAGCTCTGTGAGCAACGAGCGGAGAAGCAACGACCAGCCTGAGCAGCCTTGTTTTTACTAAACTTCTCGGCCTTGCCCAGGATGTGGCTTTGTCTGCGTTGCGCGTCGTGAATGAATGGCCGTGACACAACGTCGTCTCCTGGATTCGTTAAACGTCCCACAGAGATAATGGAGCCCGGGCACTGAACTGCAGGTAAGACGGTGAGGGGCTGACACGAGTGTTTGTTTTGAATGGCAACTTGTCCGTACTCCGCCGGCTTGGAAGGAGGAACACAACACTCAATTAATTAAATGAGTGTAAGACACAAATTGAGTCTGGGAGGATTTTGAAACACGTGAAGCTGGCTCTGTCAGAGCCATCTTTTTATGACTCATACTTTTTTTAAATGTCAGAGCTCGTTTCCTCACATGTGCAAAAACTGTTGGAAGTTCTGTTTTCTGTACGTGAATTGAAGGGACTGTGGAATCTCACTGATGGCGTCCTCTATGAGCCCATACACAAGTCGTTTTGGGAACTTCAACTTAAAATTTCAGTTTATGAATAAGCCAACTCTTATTAATTAACAGTGGAGAAGTTGACCTGCTCACGCACGTGCAAATTGCATGGACGTTAACGTTTGTTTGTCTGTAAATGGTTACTACAAATTTTGCAAATATTATCACCATGTATCTGAAATCGAATTATAAGATTTAAGGTGATTTATGTTTCTTGAGGTTTTTCAGTTTGTCTTCCAAGGCAGGGACAGGGTACTTGATTTGAAAATATGTTAATTTTATCAGTAAATAGCACAAAGAAACAAAACAAGGATATTTGATAAGCTATGCTGATAGCTTGGCAACGACATGGGAAGCTTACTTATTTCAATATGGACAATGACGCACATTTTTCCATTCATAATTATTTAGTTAGTTTCAATTGAACAAAGTTTGATAGCTTCTGTCTGACAATACAAAAGGTTTTAAGTTTAAAATACCGCCCCATCATATGCTATCATTATACCCATGCCATCTTAATAGTCAGCTAAATCTAGAAAAACAATTTGCAAGGAAAACCAGGTTTACGTGTATTTTCTGTCTTATCAACTCAGTGCTAATGAAATATTTCAGAACCCCTCAAGTTGTGTTGTTATTCGTGATTAAAGTCGTAGAAGTTAAACATAACAGCTTTTATCCTGTCTGAAGTCAGGGCAGCTTTGTTTATTTAAGTTTCAACAAGATATTGTCCTTATATAACTTATAACTCATATAACTTAACCATTTTGTATTTAACAGAGTACAGAACAGTTGGGCGGAATATTGTAGATAATTGTCAAAACATTTTGATTCACTTTGAGTTATTTCTGGTGAAACAATAGCGTATATACGTGAGTGCAATAATAAATAAACCTATAGTAATTTCCAACTCATCAATACTGACATGGAATTGACATCTTTGTGGTTAATCAAACAGGACAGAGCTTTAGGTTGACTTTTTTACATGCAAAGATTTTCTCACTCAGGGCTTGAATAAAATATTAAAATCATAAACTGTTTCTTTATGATGAACATTTTACATATTTAGCTATCTATCACAGATTGTGAATATGAGTGATTAAGGCTGTCATATGTATCTAGCAGTAGTGATGGTGGTATCCCAGTGCAGCGCTCTGTTTTTTTTTTTATAGAATTACTTCCTGTTTATGTCTCTTTATGGCTGTGGTGTCACTGAAATCTTTATCTTTACGTTTACTATACATTCTTTCACTCGCTCTCTCTCTCTCTCAGTGTATGTGTGTGTGTGTGTGTGTGTGTGTTTGCTACTGTATATCCTTTGTCCTTTTGTCCAGCTCTTACTACAGTTGATCAAAATTGTTTGAACTAAAGAGAAGCACTTAATAACAATAGAGCTTTGGAGATATTTCTTAAAGGGCAGCTCCCATGCAGTGGTTCAGCTGAGAGAGGATGGTGTTTAAGAGCGTTGTGGGCTGCCAAAGGAAAACTGGATGTGATTATCAGGAAAATCTTTTAAAAAGACAGGCACACTTACACTACAGAGATCTCCTTTTTGGTCTGTGGGAGTATATCTAAGAGTGCGATCACACAACAACAATAGCAAGGCACCTGCTTCCACAGCAAAAGCATGGAAGCTGTCTTCCTGTTAGGAAGCAGTTGGTAATGGAGTCAGTGGGAGCGATGGGAAGCAGCCTGCGACGAGTTGGAGAGGTAGAAAAAAGTAAAGGGCATGAGAAAAATACAAACACCAGAGGAGGTGCCTTGTTTTAAGTGTCTGATCGTCTGGGAAATGTTGACATGCAAATACCCATCAAAAGAGGACCAAAAGAGAGCTGGACTGAAAAGGTGAAAGCAGGGTGACTGTTAATAAGAGGTGGGAACAAACCAATAAACTAATAATTTAGTTTCTAAAGTGGACTTAAAACTATTTGATATGAGAAAGGATCATAAGCTCGATCAGTAGCTGAGTTATTTGGGAGTAGTATTGATTAGCACAAGCAACAAGAACATACATTGTTTGGGTCTAATCCCACTTTCTTCCCCTCACTCTTAAGAAAATTTATGCTTTACTTCCGCCAGAATAGCAAGGTAAAGTAAGGGGCAGTAATCGGGCCTTTTCAGATTTGATTTCTGATTGGTTTTGGAAGTTAGAATGTTATTTCACATGCTCACTTAGCCTTTTAGCCAAGATAATATCTATGTCTTATTTTATTACAAAAACAGTTCAAAGGTTCTTGTGGTGATATCTCAGTTTCTTACTCTGAAAGGATGGAGAAAACAGTACAATTTTGCAAGATATCTAAGCTTTTTTTTTAAACTTTACCAATTAAATTCTATCAACTGAGCTTCCATGATGTCCAGCTTCCATAATATGAGATTTTATTTTCAAGGACCACGTTCTACTAAAATGTTGTTGATATTCCATTTATTCAAGTCAGGGTTGCCTAGTGCTGTGGCACTCCAAAGTTAGTTCACTCACTGCAGAAACTCTGCTTGTTTTTGTCAGACTGCTGCAAGATAACCTGTGAAAAAGTGGAAGTGACCTTATTGACTCTGAGGGATGTACTGCATACATCCTCTTATGAAACATGTATTTGCAATATGACAGGCAGCTTTAGGTAAACAACCCCGTGATAACACTTTCAACACGTGGCTGATTTTTATTTACAGGACAATTCTAGCCTTTGAAAACTGCAAATGACTGTCATGTTCAATAAGTGGGGGTTTGCTGAAAAATATCATAATCTAAAAAAAAAGTGCCATTCTTTGTTCAAACAAGTTCTTAGTAGGTTTTCTCTACACATCAGATTACCTGACAAAACTGTTACTGTTGGATTACATACTCACTGAATTGTGTTAGATGACTTAAACTCTTTTTTTATTACTTTTACATGTCCCCATTGAACCCTATTCGGGATGCTGGAGTCATCACAACTCTAACTTATTAGTTCCTTCCACTCTCACCGGGCTTTCATCCAGCTCTGTCCAACTTTGACAATGACCGGAGCCCTTAGCCAGGGTATCCACTGTGCTCTGCTCTGAAGACCCTGCTCCATGCCATCTGGAAAACCTCTCGGACACAATACAAGCATGGGAGGGAGGGAGGAACTGTAGGGAGATAGGTATATGTAGCTGTGTTGTTTACATCTTGAGATCGTGGTATTGTTGTTGAATCTGAGGGAAGAAGTGAAGTGCTGTGGGATAATTGAGTTTCATTCTTGTGGCCCTCCTGAACTTGGATTTCCGGCCCCACTTCTGTGATGAAGTCTGAGGTTCATATGTTTGCACAGTGCAAGAGTGTTTACACTTTATTGTACAGGATTGTGGCCTGAAGGCATAAAGTAGTCGAAGTTTTGTCTTTGGACATTGTCTGCTTTTTCTCAAATGTTTAATGTAGACCTTTATAGCTCACAATATAAGGGTTTCTCTTCTCTTAATAGGGTTTTTGCATTGATAAAGTACATTATTTTAAATTACATCCATTTAGATTATGTCTTGCCACTTTGTTTCTAGCAATTTTTCCCCAAAAATGCCATAGATTAGTTTCGTTGGTAAAAAACCCCCAAACATTTTGATAAAGAGTTGGCTGAAATTCTAATGTCTCAACATGGTGTCCAATGTATCCATAAAAAAATTAATGGCGATGGTGTGATATTGTTGAATATAGTTGCTGGTTGAAAAATATTGACAGGTTTGCATATGTACCTTTACCTTTGTTCTAACCACCCACTGTCATGTTCGGTATTCTTCCAAAGAACAAGATACTTTTAATCAAACAGTATTTGCGTCAGCTTTGATAATTAATTTAGCAGGTTGTAAAGCAGGAGCGTGTTGACACTTCATGCACCATACATGGTGTGTATCCGAGTTTCATATCCTATGAGAAATCTGTCACACATTTAGGGGAAATTCTGATTCAATTCAAGCCAAAGTTTTTTCTTTTATGCCTGTATTCACATCTGTATGTCCTTGTCTTAATGCTTAATCAGTGGAGATATGGATTTTTAGTGATTTGTTTCTGTTTTTTTGTTTTACTCTACAAAATAGGAGACGGCTGCTCATTCTTTGAGTCTATGGCCTGTCATCAAACATACCATAACAACACTATTATGAGAAGGATATAGTTACCTTTTACTTTTTATATTGGAAAAACAGTTATAAACAGTTTTAAAAATGTTTAAATTAGTCTTTAAAGTCTTTTAAAAGCTTTGCGTATTTTCCTAATCTTTTTAGAGAAGTTTTGGTTCTGCTTCTCCAATGTAGAGTTTTTCCAGTATTTGCAATTGCTATATTTATCCTCCATTACCCAGCTAAACTATCATATGAGTCAAGAGAGCTGTTGAAAATATGTTAAATGGTTACACATTGCATCATCAGCAACGTTTTACCTTAAAGTTAAAACGTCAAACACTAGAAACAGGAACTCCAATGACTAAAATTCATTGACTTATTGCTTAAAAAGCCAATAATTTTAGGTTTTTAATGTCTGGATGGAGATCTTCTAACCAATCTGTTTCTTTTTCCTTCCTGCAGATACTGTACATAAAACCTCTGAGCTTCTTATGATATGAATATAAAATATGGTTTCCCCGTTGGGAAGAAAAGTATGAGGAAATTACTAATATGTCTGTATTTGTTTTCTTCTCTCCATAGAATAAATATGGATTAATCATAATTTAATCTTTTATTCCTTGTGTCAAAAATGTTAAATGATCATAACAACCCAAAAACAGAGAATACAAAACTTTTTTTTTTTTAAAGGTGGTTTTGGTGACTAACCTAATTACGTGGATGTACTCCCACAGAGACAGCTGGGGAATTTACAGATTGTGAGTTGTTCTCATTATTAGTGAGGGGTCACTGGACCATTTTTATCAGATCAACTTCTGTTTTTACTGACCTATTTTCCTTGCCTAAGATATAATCTTTATATTTTTGTTTTTGGTTTACAAGTCCAACTTTGAAGCAGCAACATCTTTGTCTTTAAAGGATAATTTATCTTCTTGACGCCGAAGAAAATCCAAATGAATTTGTTCTTAATAAACATTATTACATTTTTTAACCACATGTTGATACCAGCTTGCCAAACCCGTGTTTGTACTCAGTTGTTGCATGAACATTTCCAAAATGCACTGATAAAAATGAAAGAAGCAAGTCAAGTCTGCAGACCTTTTCAATTGGACACATGGTAATGTTGTCATACTGGAATTTTCAAGCCAGATTCTTTCTCCATTTATGCTAGAGTGAGACATTTGACGTGGGTTGCACTGAATTGAACTTGCAGCTACAGGAACCAAACGTCAACACAAATATACCTGCATCTGCTTTTCTTCTCATTTCCCTTTATGGTTTGTGTATCCTCTTGGTCTCATTTTCATGCTTAGCGGACGATCTGCCTTCATGCAAAAGAGATGTGATAACACAGCCCGATGTTCACGAAAATGGAACAGTGTGTGTTGGCTTGTATTGACACAATTGGTGATCATAATATTCCACAGAATACATAGGTTGGCACAATATCTTGTATCTCTATGTTTGATATCAACTCTATTTCCTGTTACTCTTCAGAGTCAGAGCAGTAAAGATGCAGCACACCTCATGCACAGAGGACCGGATCCAACACGCCCTGGATAGATGCCTGGATGGGTTGAGACAAAGCCCCACGTCTGCACACCACTGGAACGGTAAGATCTCAAAGGCCTGCTAGTATTTTTAGGTAGGTTTTATAAAATACTTTATTAAACGAATTTGCATTGCTACTACAGAAAAAAAAAATCAAAGAGAGGACAACTGTATCTTTAAATTGAAAACCAGCCTCATTACATTCTCAATACTTTTTTGACCCTGGCTAGTGTGGTCAGAAAGTTTTTCACCTTACCTGTTTTTTAAAAGAAAAACTAATAAGTGTAAACATACATAATAGTTCAGTAATTCAAAAATGTTGATCTCATCTGTTAGTTATTAAGTTTGTTGCATTGCTCAAATGGAACAGAAATATTAACCTCCTATAAACCTCCTTCAGCCTCCGCAAATTGAAAGAATCCCACTGTATTCGTTGTAATAGATTTGCTATCGTTCTTCTTTTCAGATGTTTCTGTTCTATTGCAAATGTAAATACCAGGCCTTCATGCAAATACAAAGCTTATCAAAGTCCCACTTTTTTTACTGAAACATCTGAGCTATTAAGTAATGCCTTGGTTTATGTTTGGTATACCTTCTCATATTCAGATGTTCTCAAATGGAATGGGCACAGATGAACAATATGATTGAAAATGTATACTTTTCTCCCCTTGATACAGGGACATTATACAGTAATTACACTTTTGTTTGTGGAAGTGTCATAAAATAATGGAAGTTAAACTTGTAGGGGACAGAATCACCTTCGTTAAGGTCCCTCTCAAACCAAGGGTTTCCATTTTGAGCATGTCAATTTCCATCCTTAAATTGCTTAAATTAGTTTTACGGAGGTAGATCTTCCAAGCCAAATGGCTTATAGCAATATAGTAGAACCAAACTAATAGATTTAAGTTAAATGGACTTAAATAAAACAAACTCTATTGAAGTTAGTCCCCATAAACCTCCTAAGAAACACACAGATTTGAATGATACTATTTTCAAACTTCTTAAAAAGAAGAAAAACACAAATTTCTCCTGAAAAGAATACCCTTCAGAGCTCCACCAAGGCCACAAGTATAATTTGATGGTATCATTCATGGTATGATTTAATGAAATATAAAGAGATTGAAAAAATCGATATCAATCCTCAAAATAAAGTTATTTCCTTCTGTGTAAATTATTTTAAAGATGTGCAATAGGTAGATTGATAACAAAAAGCATGTAAGGAATAAACTAGCAGAAAATTTAGTACCATTATGTGTCATTCAATTTCTGAGATAGTGAAAGCAGCACATTTTGTCAGACTAATCTACACCAGTACACACACTTTGCTGAGCACTAACTATAATAGAAGGCAGTTGTTTGTTCACACTCTTTTAACGCTAGAAATTGTGTGACAGAGACTGTGACAAATGAGCAGAGAGGTGTCTGAGCTGGTTGTTGTCACTGTTTCTTTCAGATCACCAGGGTAGCGTATTATTGGGTGTAGGAGGAAGTTGTGTGAATAGACAGCTGGGAGGAAGTGGTATCACAGACCACAGCGTGTGAGTTTGGCATCATGAGGCAGGAGTTACTGTGGTGCAGGGTGTAAAAGCAAGGGCAGACATCCACATCAGTCAGTGCTGCACAGAACAACACACGGATGCAGTGTTAACTAGGTTTCATACTGTGATACCCCATGCTTTACATTTGAACTGATACTTTAGGTTGTTTTTTCTGGTTTCCTGCTGTCTAACGGCATTTATCTTGACGTGAGGTTTATGTCAGGTTTATCTTCTCTTTATCACACTTTATTCTTACTTTCTGTTTTTACATACTTTTTTAGGTTTTGAGTCACAACCATGCCAGATTTATTGTATGTAGAAATACTTGGTAAATTGATTCCAAGTCTGATAACATGTGACATTCATCCTTTACATCTTAGGAAGATATCAACCTTTATCTTTAAAGATAGAATGTTTTTCAGGACATAGCTGTAAAGTTCCCCTGTGAATCACGTACTGATTTTTCTTCTGATGTTATAGCACAAAAACATTTACTGGGAAAACACACCAGAAACATCAACTGGCAAATATATTATACTCCTATACTACAAATATATTTCTGTGCAGACTTATTTATTTCAGATTTGTTGCTTTCGTGAAAACAGAAAAGATACTAAAAATGATGGATGACATTAACAGCAACCTTTCAGTTGTGCCAGTGTGATAGATGTCAGATCTGTGTGGTTTTAAATACCACATTCATACTTTAACATGTTTTTTTCCACAGTGAAATCAAAAACTAAAATCTGTGAAACAATACATCTATTTGTCAACTTGTCTCAAGTGCTCTTTTTAATTTTTTAAAAGTTACTTTTGTTCATTTTTAACAAAAGCATTCAATTCTTTTAAAACCCAGAACCCGAGACTACATTCTTCAAAAAAACGATGACAAACAGTGACACGTGTGTTAACTTACTATATCTTGCATCAGGAAATGCATCCTGTCATGTCTGACAAACATGTGTCAAGAATAACAAAGACAAAGGTGTCAACACACCCTTGAAGTTCTCCAGATATGACAGTTAAAGGCTGGAAGGTACTTCTGTTTTGCACAGCAAAAAACACCCAAATTACAATCAAGTCAATGCCATCTTAATGTTTATCTTGTGTATAGTTTATATTAATAGTATTATCAATCCATCCGTCCTCCATACCAGTAAGATGGGGGGGGGGGGGTGGGGGTTGGTATAGCTTTAAGTATTCAAATAAATGTAATTTTTAGTCAAACAAGACGTTGCATACATGTCCCTCACCAACTAGTGACAACTCTGACGACGACAGAAGTGTACCATCAAAACATGTAGTGTATGATTAAACCAAAAATTTGTTGTCTGATAAGAACCTTAAAAGAACCTAGAGCTATAACTAGTAAATGTTTTTTCATTTTTTCGTTTTTTTTCTCTACATTAATGATTAGATACTTGCTTAATGGCGCTCTACAAGTTTCTGACATGGGATTAAGGGTGTTTGAAATAAAATTGGTTTATTCATAGGGTGTGTTCACAACAGTTTAACCAACCATTTAATACCAATATCATCTGAAGTCATCTGATCAGGGTTTGTTGTTTTTAGCTCACGTTAGGCTCAAGGCTGAAAGAAATGTGAGAGAATGTTTTCACTGAACGTTTCACTCATAGCTCATAAACCTTAGTTGGTCTCAGCATCTGTATATACTCTGGAAACTTTGAAAAAGTAGATGTTTTCCTCCTTAAAATGTCACCCTTAATGTACTCAATTTGTTAAGTTGAAAATATATCTGTATACAGTCAGTGTCTGCATTTCCATGTGATTTTCTTTTCTAGTGCTGATGTGCTCAGCAGGTCAGTCGATGAACCGCTGGAGTTTGGAGGAGCTGGTGAAGAGAGACCCTGACAACTTCCTCATCTTATTACAACAGATCATCGAAAAGACAAAATATGTAAGATGAAATTCATAAAATATTGTGCATCTATACAAGAGTAAAAATAATCCCTAAATAACTGTTTGCAAATACAATTTTTTATCCACTGTGTGAGTTCAGGTTCAGGAGCAGTGTCAGTATGAGCTAGTGGTTCCACTCGCCATCATGTTCGCCTCCACACTTCTGCAGGTACAGACTTTGAACAGGAAAGAATATCTGCCTCTGCTTTAACCATCTGTCACCTCTCTGAACCATTCAATGTATTTCCACATATGAGAACTCAAAATGTAAGTTGTCGTTTCTCAATTTGAACAAATGTGGTGGTTGTTGGTGCGTTACAAAGACTAAAGTTTCTAGCGCAGTTAAAAAAAACACTTGCAAGAACAAAATTTTCTCGTAAAAAATTCTGATATCAATGAGCATAGCTTCAACATTTCAGTCAGACAGACTTGCATTCATGCTTCAGATGAAATGGTGCATGTTATCATTTTGCTGCACAACACATGTCAACATAGAGCCAGTGAAAAGTTGCATCATCCGAAAAAATGGCAATATTACACTGCTGAGTTCAATACCTCCGGGTTAGTAGCATTGATTAGCAAATTATTATAAATCATTAAAACTGAAACATAACTTCATTGAAAATACTACTGTTTTCATCAGTATTGTTAATTAATCTTAACATTTCTCTCAAACTCACTGATGTCGCCAATTTGAACAGCTTGTCTGTTCAAATTTAGATAATATGTCAGTATGTAGAATCAGTGCGTAGAATCTTATCTTTGCTTCAAGAGTGTGTAAGAATCACTGGCCATAAAAGGCACACAAAGGCTCATAATCTTTTTTAGGAAAGTTTCACCATTGGAAATTGGAAACTTCTAGGTGGGACAACTGTATGCTACATTTCTTCTTGACAATGTAAATTGCATTGCATACAACCAAATTACCATTCAGGAAAGATTTAGTACATCCCTTCCTAAAATGACAGGCCACGATTTAAAATAACAGTTTTTATGACGAAAGCGTTACTTACTATGATGATGATATGCGTATATCCATTTGTTGACTATAAAAAATGACAAAGGATTACTCTTACTACATGAAATTAGATATGACCTCAATTAAATTGGCTGCAAATGAAATCATGTTGCAGGGGTTGATTGTAAAGAATAGAAACGCACAGAGTATGTTGGGCTAATCACACTTCATTCAAAGAGCAGTTTGGCTTTTGTCATTACAGGCAGCAACCTCAGTGGAGGGTGTAGTGGCTGTTCACAATACAATGGGCACAGTTAGCACTTTTTTTTTATTTTTATATATATATATTTATTAAGTTTTCAGAATATAACATACAAAAGTCAAACATGAGAGTATAAGTAAATATATATGCACATATACACGCAGACTTACATATCCATGTATATATGGTGTGTAACAAAATCCTGTATGAAAGCAGTATACTCTTATCAATCCAGTAACAAAAATAAAGACGTACAATAAGAGAAAAAATAAAAAACAAAAACAACAAAACAAAAACAAATATTATAACAGCAAGTCAGGTTACACTGCATTGAGTACTATTTACAATTAAGGAATGGTGTTACCTGTCTATAAGGGCATAGGTGGCACATTAAGAAGCTGAGCGAGTGTCTGTGTCGAACCTGGATCGGGAAAGATAATCCAAAACTGGCTGCCAGATACTACAAAACCTATAAGTGGAACCCACAACATCATATCGTAGCCTCTCCAGATGAAGAATCTCAGTGAAGTCGCTCAACCACATTTTAAATTGAGGAACCTTGTCAGTTTTCCAGAGTCTCAATATTACTTTTTTGGCTATTACCATTCCATACACCACTGTCATTTGCATAGAAACGCTGCAGATCCTTAACAGTTAGCACTTTTAAAAAATACACAATTTTGGCAGAGGGGAGGAGGCATGTAACAGATGTTAAAATCACTGGGCTTGCTGGTGTTACATTACATTAATTTGTTTGTACTTTGCTTACAGACACCATACTGTCCACCAGACACAGAACTCCTGGAGAAAGCTATCAAAGTTTTTTGCAGCTTCCTCACATGGCCTGAACCTTATAGCAGTGTATGCAGGGAACTGCTCTCCACACTACAGCTAGAAATCAAGGCCCCTGGTAAATCTATTGTTAAGCAATACTAATTATTTTATAAACATGTGCAGATGTACTCCCTCTTGTGACACATTAAAGAATTGCATGCAGCATTATGCAGTGGGATTTAAATGTATCCATTATGGTGTGACAATTAAGTCAAAGCTATGGGTTTCATGTAAACTCCTTCATTCTGTCATGATTTTAACTTAGAACGGATGTAACTCTGCCAAAAAAAATGCACTGAGATATTTCCAGAAATAAGTAAAGAAACTGACAGTTGAAAAAACTAAATCAATGTGAATTGATTAGTAAGTTGTTAGTTTTTGTGACAAAGGGATACATTTTTTCCATTACTTCACATCAATGATCTGTTTTTTCTGACTACGATAAACGAAAAGACCCCATATGTAGTCCCTGTAAATCTTTTGTGCAGTTGTTCCAGCAGACGATGATCATGATTGTGCTCTTGTCACAGGGATTTCTTTTCAAAGACTGGTAAGACAAGAGCAAGGCCTGAACGCCTCCAATGACTCTTCAAAGACAATGTAAGTTATACAACTATTCACTCAGTCTTCATATTTAAAACTAGAGAACTAGCTGAATAGAATTTACTGATAAAATGTAATAATTCTGGCAGATTCAAAAAAACAAAAACAAATACAAAATGTTTTTTTCTTTTTTTCTTTTTTTAAGTTAACTATTTCACCACATTTTCCTTGTAATAGCTTATAATATTCAGACTTATTTGTATCATAAAATACCTAAGCTGTATACCACATCTTTCTACCTGTTAAGAGCTATTCAAAATATATGTTACCATTCATTTTCAGTCCAGAAAGGAATGTGTTTTACTTTTGTGTCTTCTTCTTTTTTACTAAAATCAGCACTTATCCTTTTTTTTTTTTGTTGTGGTTCACCAAAATGTTATCTGACCCGTAGTACATCTGATATACATTATAAAGTTTTAAAAATGCTGTCATATTGAAGTAATCTATATAAGGTTGGTGCTTTGTCAGTCAAAATTCAGTTTCACACATCCAACCTGAAGACTGTAGTATCCTCTTTTAGTCCTCTCTCATCAGAGCTCTGCACTTAATCACGCCCATCTACTGCCTGCAGGACTGTGTTGCTGATGAACCCGGGTGAGGTTCCTTCAGACTTTCTCATGGTGGCTGAGCAACTCACTCGCATTCAGCACTCACAGAAAGAAACCTATATCACCTTGATTAAACATGCTTTCCAGTCCACACTAGGAAGCAAGTTTCCTCTGCATATCATTCACAAGGCCTTGCAGGTATGTGCTGAAATTTCCACACATACTCACTATAGACCAGCGGGTGGATAAAACGAATTAAATAAAACTGACCACAAGTGCTATGCAGCAATACATGATGTGCCAAAAAATTCAGCACCTTTTTAATATGGCATGATTCATTTTGAAGGCAAAAGCTGTGAATGACTTGGAGGAGATCTACTCATCTGTGAGTGACATCTTAGAAATGGCTGCAGTCATGAGTGAGCCACTGAGGGCACGAAGTCATGTCATTAAGGGACTGGAAAAACTAAGTGAGACGCTGAGAATCTCTGCCCACAATAGGACAAATTCTGATGGTAAGAAGGCTGCTTTTCTTTGCTGCAAGGCTGGCAGTTTAGTTAGCATATGGTGAATGATTAATTTATATTTGAAGGGTTAGGGTTGCACACTATTTTATTTAGTCTTTGTCTGTTTTTCCATTAGGAATGCTGCAAACATTACCCCTGCCAACTGCCAAGTGTTATATGTTTCACTGGGACAAGGATAACTTTGGTAATGTGTACAGCTTTATTGATAGTGTTTTGTGAATTGTATTTTTCCTAGCTTTTGAAAAAAAATATTTTCAATGTGTTAAGTCATATCTGACTGTTACAGATGTTCTGAACCACCTTTTGGAGCCTGAGCTTAATAACTTGACCAGAAATGGGAATTCTGCAGAGGTCGATTTTGATGATGATGAGCATGATGTGACAGAAACTGACGTTGAGGAAGAGGACGAGGAAGACAAAGACAAGGAGACACATGGAAAGGAGTCTACTTCAATATCAATCATCCCCAATGACTACAGTTGCAGTCATCGGGCTTCTACCTTCTCCACTATGTCATCCCTGTCCACTACCTCCAAAGACTCCATGTTCTCCATGCTATCCTTTGCTTCAGAGTCCTATGCTCCCTCCCTTTTCTCAGTCACTTCTGGAGCTGATAGTGACTACTTTGAAGATTCTGATGACTACATCTGCTCTTCTCCTGTTGCCGAGAAATGTTCACCAAAGCTGAACAAAGCTTCTGCCCGTCTCAGCCAACATTTCTACAGACTTTTTATCAAACCCAAAAATCCTCGCTTGCTTTCCCGAGCCAAGAGCTTGGGAAACAGTGAATCGAAAGATCTTTCAGCTGTTCGAGAAACACGCTCTAATTCTCTGCCTCAGCAGGTCAAGTTATTTGGTCCTGAGCCCTTACTCAAGCCACAAAGCCAAGCACTCAGGCATGTTTGCTTTAGAAGGCGGCCTATTTTGAGCAGTGATGAGGACAGCAAGAATATTACATTGAGGGTAGTTGTATTTGGTGCTGATCATGTGGCAGGGAAGGTGGCCCGAGCCTACAGTAGCCTCAGGAAGAAGGAAAGTGACTGTCCACATCTTAGCAGAGCCTTCAAGCTTCAGTTTTACTTTGTACCTGTGAAGAGAGACTCTGCAGGATTAGGTTTTCGAAGGTCCTCTGGTCCACTTCTACAATTTGGATCTCCAAAACGAACAGCACTCTCTTCTGTAAGTAAAAGAATAGCTCCAACCAAAACTTTAAACTCATAAAACCAATGGTGTACTATTTTTTTCCTCTGTCCTGCCTTTATAAAAAAAAAAAAAAAAGGTCTTCGTCACACCATTTCACAACCAATATTGGCTCTGCTAAACTGAGTTTTAATTGAATGAAAATTTCAGTATATGTCCCTAAGTACAAGATGAATAATTTTCAAACACTTTTTTCAGGAAAAGACTTTCAAAACTTTCAGTACTGTGATGAATAGTTACAAATGTACGTATGAACATTATAAGCAACATTAAAATGAAGGGGTATACTAACACTTATAAACATAGCATAAATATTTAAAACTAAATACAAGGTCTGTGTAGCGTTTCAGTTATACTTGCATGCATGTAGGAATCACAGGAAATTGGTACAATTAGAATGTTTTGAACCTTTACTCACAGAGTCTGATATCAGAATGACTTCATTTGAACACAAATGGTAGTACATATACATGTAACAACGCTTTTTGTGTCATATACTTTTGTATAGGTTAATTGCAGGGCCATTCAGATCACTTGCAAATATTTTAACATTTTGATTCAGTGGAAACTTTTAATACTGAACACAACTTTTTAACAAAATTTCAGATATTTGGACTGAGAAGCTTGTATGATTGTAGCAAGAATGTAAAAGCAAAGTGAGAAAATATATTTCTCCATAAGAGGTTTCTCCACTGTTTGGTTTTAAGTGTTGCTTTTCACATACAGGATCTAAACCAAATGGACACAGGCAACAGCACTAATGACATTGCACATTTCCTTGGCATGCTGGACCCTTGGTATGAAAGGAACACACTCAGCTTGCTCAAGCTACCTGCCAGCGTTGTTTGCCAGGTACATCCAGAATGTAACTTTTCTGTTTTAATTTAGTTTTATCCCCCAGAGTACATTGCTGTCCCCCAGTTTTCTCTCTTGCTGTGTCAAATATAAAGGCATTTCGGTAAACTGACATTATGCAAGACTTAATGCGTTGTACTACTGTCTAACGTATACATTTCATTACAGCAAACTTCAAAAACAGAGTCGCATTCTTACGAGAATTCATATGAGCAGCGTCTACCAATCCTTGCAGACTTGGTGCTGTACTACTGCCGCTATGCTGCTCGGCCAGCTTTAATTCAACTTTACCAGGCTGAGGTCAGACATGACACAAAATACACATAGCTGTGAAATGTGTCCGTTCATTTTCTTTCCAGATTTCACCAAGGTTTTGTGAGGAGAGAACAGGAGACAGAATGAATTTGAGTGTTTGTCAGATACAGGAAGTGATGCATGGTGTTTGGTTTTGCAGTTGACGCTGGCGTGTGGAGAGAGGAGAACTGAGGTGTTTGTTCACTCACTGGAGTTGGGTCACACAGCAGGAACACGAGCAATCAAGGCCATGGGTAAGTGCAGGCCAAACAGATATCCCTAATAACCTGTGCACATTTCTGTATGATAAAATCCATCATCAATTATTATTTGAATGCTTTTTTCCATGTGAATTATGTTGATTCTACTTTTCTGGTTTAACTTTTCAGCACTTTTTGCACTTGTTATTTTGAATTTCCTTTCATGCCTTCAGAAGTGAAAAAAAGAAGTGAAAGTTGAGGAAAAGCTGTATATGAATTGTGGGCAGAAGTTACTGTGGAAACAAAATTCCTGCTTTTCCATTATTTCATAGTATTCTGACATATAGCAGTACTGATTACTTTCCATTAAAAAAAAATAATCCAAATGCTGTGGAGTTCTTTTCATTGTTTGCCTTGCTGCATTACAGAACTGCTATGCTCTTAGACAAGTCAATCCAATGTGCATGTGTGTGTATCCTTTTCCTATTTAATTTAGGTGCTGCCAGTAAGCGGTTTGGCATTGATGGTGACCGAGAAGCAGTGCCTCTCACACTGGAGGTTGTGTACAACAGGGTAAGAGCATCTTTAAGTTTATTTTTCATCACCTTCTATGATCTGATTTCCCCTTTAAGTTTGTTTCTGACTGTGGTCTCCCCAATTTGCTTCAGGATAAGTATGCCTTGGTGATGTTATTAACCCAATCCAAATTTTAATACATTTACATAAGGGGGATGTGAGTGTATGTGATTGTTTGTATCTGTATTGACCTGCTATGGGCTGGTGACTTGTCCTGGATGTACCCAAGCTGACCGCCGGGGGCAGTATACAAAATGGATGGATGGATGGATGTTGACACAAGGATAAAGAAAAAACTGACAAATTAAGTGTGAAGTCTCTGCACAGGTGTTTTTGTATTTAAGAGGGTACGGGTCAAAATGTGTATGATAAAACCTCTGTACCACTGGGGTCCCTGTTTAACCTGGTATCACCACTTGCAGGTATAATGAGTCTTAGTTTGATTTGTTATTTTTTGTTAAATCAATAACATTATGCCCTTTGCTTTCCATTCAGGTGGTCATTAGTGGGAGAAGCCAGTGGAAACGAGAAACCAAAGTCTGTACTTCAATAAACTTAATCAAAGCATGCAAGAACCCTGAGGAACTAGGTAGGCCTTCACTTGGCACTGCTATCTTATTAAAACACTGTAATAGCTTGATGCATATCATTCCATCATTATTTTATCAAGCAGGATTTGTTGTTTTATTAACTTAGTTATTAATTCCCCCAAATCATTGGCATAAGATTAAATCATTTTTCTATCACATTTAACAGTTTCATGTATATTTTCAGTGTGATGTCTCTGTAAGAAAATTATTGTAAGACAACATATGTCAAATTATGTTTAAAAAAATCTCAGATGCAAAGATGGAGTGCCTGCAACTCACCATGACTGAGGTGCTGAAGAGGCAGAATGGTAAAAGCAAGAAGGGCTACAACCAGGTAGGATATGACATCAATCTGTCTTAGTGGTTTAAGGTTCTTACAGCAACCTGGAGATGTGCTGATACAAAGACCCTGTAACGCATTTACTGTTCAAAGGTCCAGTCCTCAGTATATCCTTATGTTTCTCACATGAAAACTTCATCATGGAACTGTACATATATATTAGAGAAATTATCACCTTAATAGCTGAAAGCAAGGCAAAGCACACTGCCATGACTTGTGTCTGTGTTTCTTGTGTATGCTCTCATTTCATTGCACAGTAGAATTTTTTTTAATTGTCTTAACAAAACATCTATTTGTGATTTATCTAATAATACTTTTTTCAACTTTTGCAGCAGCTGAATGTGACTGAGGTAAAGGTTGACAAGGTGCAGGTCTGTGGGGTTCGAAACACGACATTTGCAGTGTGCCTGGACCAGGATGAGAAGAAGATTTTACAAAGTGTCATAAGGTATGGACGCAAGAACATGTACAGAAGTTGAACACAGATTGTATTGGGTTTGCAAAGTGGAACTTCTTTAGTGTCTCCAATGGTAAAGTGACTGTACTTACAAGGCACTTTTCTTGTTTAGGGGCTTTATTTCTCAGACAAAATAATTCCTCACCACAATATAATTTTGACATTTCTTCTTTACCTACTATAATTTCCTATCTCCATTGACTTACTAAGCTTCAAATAGCTGAAATCTCATTTTTCTGAATACGTAAGTATTGTCTTTTTTAACCAATGATTTTCCCCTGTGTCATTAAGGTGTGAAATATCGGTATGCTACAAACCTGACAGCTCTGCTGATTGGAGGCTACGGAAAAACCGGAACTCTGCTCAAATCCAGCCCCTCAACCCCACCTTCTGCTCCCTACTTTGTCTGCCCATTGTGACCTTTAGTGGGGCACTTCCCTGAGACAGCTGATCGCAGTTTTTTTGGACTGGAAGAAAATATTTCCTACAATGTTCTTTGAATGCTGGGGATGCCTAACAGACTAACAAAAAAGCACATGAGACTTTTTCTAATCTTATAAGATGTTGTGGTGAAATTCACTTGGAAGCAGTGCAATACAACATGAGGACTTTGAAAGTCTTGCACAGAAAAGGTTCATTTAAGAATTCTGTATTACTGACCTTTGATTACTGACCTTTTTACTTACCGGCAGTAGTAACAGCACCAAGGACACTTGTGAAATCAAGAAATAGAAGAGAATATTCAGCCAAAGAGATACTATTGTTTATTTCTCTAAATCATTAAAATGAGTCTTTTAATGTTATTACAAGAACTTTTCAAGTGTCACTTTTTAGGCTCCACTTTTTTGTGTTTTGCAGGCACAACTGACTGTCATATAGAATGTATAATAGTGAAGGTGAACATTTGGAATCTCGGGTAAAATTATATAACTAGCAGATTTTAGTGATAAATCAGAATCCGACAGAGATGGCAAAATAATTATGTGTATATTGTGTTTCACAACTTTTCTCTGAATCCACACACATGCCAATGGATGATGAACTGTGAAAATTGTCTATTAGGAAGGATTAACATATTGCTGAATAGACACTATTGTTGTACAAAATGTAGATATTCAAATTCAGATATTTTTAAGTGTAATGTTCAGTTTGGGAACAGTTCACTGAAAGAGTTGATAGTTAAAAACAGCAGCTATGAATATGTTGACTTTTCTTTATGTTTTATCTCAAGTGCTGATATCCATCTTTACCTGGTAAAACTTGGCATTTAAAGCCAGTTTATTTGCTGTACTATAGTTTAAATAGGAACATAATATTATCAAATAACTTTTTATCACTTCATCTAGGATAAAGATGAAAATGGCAATATGTTCAAACCAATCAAATGTACATCTTCCAATGCACTTTCCACAGTGGAAGGATTGACATTAAAGTTTTTTTACTTTTGTGATTGTGAAGAGATGGTTTTCCTCATTTTTATTCATGGAAATAAATCACCTACAAATTTTCATCTGTTGAACACAGTGCAAGTACAATAAATATTACTTTTGACCATTTATAAGTTAAAACAATGTTATACACACACACACCACTGACAGCAGGAGGCAGACGTCATGAGGCAGACTATGACAGGTATGAGTTGCTTTTATACTGAAGCTGAAATTGGTAGCACACTTTATATAAAGTGTTCTACCAATTTCAGCTTCAGTTAAATATATAGATATATATATAGATATAGATATATATATCTTGCGGTGGGCGTGGTCAGACATTTGCACTCTCCCCTGTTCTGCTGAGTTCAGCTAGGCTGACACCATTCAATAATCTCAAGAGAGCAAACCGAACTGACTCAACAACTTTGGGTAAGTTCTCTCAATCACGCAAAAATTTGCGTTTTGATACAAAAAAAACAACTTTATGTTTAACTTAGACTGCTTACGTTTTCAGTGTGTAAATTTAAAATGCATGTTACCTGATAATATTATTTTTTGTCTTTACGTTATTGTTCACGCGCACTGTATCTCCTGCCCGGGAAAACATGCATTTGCTGCTTAACAGTTGCGGAATTTGTTGATGCTTTACACCGACGAGCCATTGGCCTCTATTTGATAGTGTTTTACATTTTAAACGCTTATGGCAGACGTTTCTCGTAAAAGATAATTGGTCGACGTTTAAACACTTTCGCTGTCATCTTTTGAAAAAATCGAACAAAAAAAACATTTTGGCGTGGCGTTTTAAGTGACAGTAAACGAGGGCGGAGTTTTCCATCTGCAATTCTATCAAGCTTGTCATAATAACAAGCATTTGATAGCAATGCTTGAACTAATTGAAATACTGGCTCACTATTTTTGTCTTGTGGGGTCTGAATGCGCCACTGTTTTCGTCCAACTTCCTTTTTTTTTTTTTAGATCTCAGCTTCCTGTTACCACTTTGAGACTTAGGGGTATGCAAGGTTGATCTTCCATTTATGCAGATCTTTCTGTTCACAAAACAAGTGATCCCTACTGATAATTGTATTTGTAATGATGTCTCAATGTGAGAGTAAGAGGAGTTATTTGTGGCAACACATAATATGAAAAACAAACAACACTGGGACACGTTGAAACAGTTTGGCATCAATCAAATGTATTAAAAAGGGGAAATCAAACTTCATGAATTGAGAGCAACCTAGAACCACCGGCCATAAATCGTACGACATACCCAACAGATATAAGATATCCTGTGAACAGTGATTAGTAAACACTTCTACATTTGTCACCTCAAGTTATATTTTAACAATTTGCTCATGTATCTGTGTAGGACAGTAAACAGTAAGTGCTGCGAGAGGATATGAGTCATATCTGCACGGTTATATCTATGATTATTGGTATTTTATCCCGACACATTACACTAACATCTACTGATCCATTTCAAGCCCGTTTTATAATTTGATTATGCTGTTTACACAACTAAATGCATCCTGATCCCCACAGAGTCAGATCTGTATGTGGCTTCAGTGTGCCTCAAAATACACTTACGCTGTAGTCAGTTTTGTTCACTTGTGTTCAGAGGTGCCAGGAATAATTTTAGGATAGTACGTAAACACTATGTTTGCTTTGGCTTACACCTGCATCCAATGCAAGGCTGTCAAAATCCTCAGCTGACCCCTAATGAACAAACTATCCCAGTTCTCACCACCGCAATCCCAGCATAAGAGACTTCACACATATACACACCCAAACCTTTTTGGAAAACCCCTTTGTATCTGTCTTCCTCTTAACTGATTGATCTAGCATATTACTGAGAGTTGCATAAATGTACTTTTTTTTAAATGGAGACTTGTGATCAAACATTAAATTCACACCAATCTTCCCACCAGAAACTGTTGTCTGTTAATCTTTAGTAATTGCTGATTTGTGCCAAAATTGGAAAAATGTTTGCTGGTCTTTAACTGAACCTTAGTCAATCATGTCAGGCATGTTAAAGCACTGTACATACACACAGATAGCCTCTGGTTCAAGACAACTTCCTCATATTGTCCAGTATGTTGATACAGGATATTACTTTGATTTATATCGCCCACTGCTCAAACTGTATACAAGATGTCTATTTTCGGGATATCAGCAACCCCAGCTTGCATGTATGTGCAGATCTGTATTTGTATGCTTATACTCATGGGTTCAGATCCTGGGGGGTACATGGGCGGGGGGGCATGTCCCCCCCCATTAAATGATTAAAAATTTAACAAATGTATTTCGAGACTTTACATTCTTCGCAGTTTAGATTCACTTCTGAAAAGAAATGATTGGTGTTACAAATAATGTTTTACTAATATATTTCTGACTCTCCTTCACAACAATGCAGATGAATTTGTAGTTTACTACACAGACACTGATGATCATTAAACATTTAAAGAAACAACCCACCAGTCCCCCCTCAATCTTTCTCTAGGCGTATACAGGATAGTCCAGATAGTTGTCCAGACTAAGAGTTATATAGACAACAAGAGTTATACAGATACATGATCTCTTCTTTTAGAGAGTCCTAGAAAATGAGAATCAGAATAAATCAAATGTTGTTTGGTCAAGTTGTGTTTATTGGGCTCTTAGAACTCTATTATTTTACACAACTTGGTTAGGGCTTCATATTTTTGTATTCATCCATATCAATTAATCATGCATTAAGTAGTCCCATACATTGGGAGAAAAGGAAGATAGTTAGAAGAATGGGGGAAGATGAGTAGATTACCTGCCCAAAGACCCTTAGAATTATGATTTACTAATATAACAGTTAAGTAAGCAGTGATACGTGCTATGGAAAGTTTAGGACAAGTTTGAATGATATGGTGAGCTTCGATGTAGTTGTAATTTATGGTGGCATGTTATGAGTTTCATACAAGCCTGTACTTTCCAGCTTACTCACATGCAGCTAATTCTAACTGTTTGCATGCAGTTAATTCTAACTGTTGCAGAAAAGAACACACATGAAGTTAAAAGTTTTTTTTTTTACTTGGTAGTGTAATGTGTTTTTTTGTATTTTTAACCACTGATATAAAAAGAAAACCTGAGAAGTTCAGTTGCTTCTGTTGCTTCTTTTTTAATGGTAAATGTAAGAATGACTACTCCAAACTTGTTTCCCATTTATTACCCGTCAGCGCTAAAAGAGTGAAACCTCAAAGGTGCCTTCATTATTGTTCTGCTTTGTCCAGGTGACAATTCAAGCAAAATTATCTGTTTGGAGCTAAAAAGAGATAAGAATTAGGGCTATGATATATTTTTTTCAAACCTCTCATGTCCCCCGGGGAGGCCATTTGTTTCTTGCGTTCATACTGAATAGTGTTGTCTACTTTGACATCAGACATGCATCAGGTGTTGATGTGAGAGCCCCAGCACAGGGGGAAAAAAGAAATAGAAACACAATATCCTTTGTTGGGGATTTCCAATGAAGCTGTTTAGCACCACCCCTCCACCCCTGTTACATCATCCACTTCTCCTTTGGTCTATGAACACACTTCTGTACAATGCAGTTTGGACTTTCCTGTTTTCTGAGATGTATGCAGCGGGCCTGACTGGTAATTAATGCCCCTGTCTTTTTTCATCTTTCTCATTGTTTTTAGCTGAACAGTATAATGTGTGGCAACAGCCACTGGTGTCATGAATGTGCTGGACGATATTTGTCGTTACCAAAACTCAGATCAGGAACTGATGGCAAATACAGGCAGATCTGGGGAAGTTGTCCGTAAGGCACTGGCATCTTGGCCCAATCATCATGGCCCCTATCAGGGACATTACATTCTATGTCAAACTTGCCGCAGATGGTTCAGTAAAGTGATAGAGAGGAAGATCATTTTTATGCTGAAATATGATTGAAATAATTTCCCTCTGGGGTTATTAAAGTATTTCTGATTCTGATTCTTATTGGCTGTGAAAGTCAGTTCTGATTTCAACTCACCTTGGATGATTAGAGCTGTAAGCTTAAATTTCAGCTAATGCACAACAAACTTTGAAGTGTTGCTTTGTATGTTTAGTGTTTTACCTTCAATTACTATTTTTTGTATGGTTTATTATTTATTTATTTTATTCTAGGTTTTCAGCTTAAACATGAAACAATGTGTGTGTGGAGTGTTGGCATACAATTTTTGATTTACTTCCCTCCATTTCTCTATCAATTCTCAAGTGTCAGTATGTATCAAGAATAGCAAAGGCTTCATTCAAAATTTTTATAGTAAAAAATAAGTCGCACATAATTATATGAAATTTTGCATGATAGGACACTTCGGCTGTGTTGTTTTAGGTGCTGTTTTAGATGAAATTAATGTTTCCAGATTATATGACATTCAGACATTTAGAAGATCAGTATAGACTAAAGATTAAACCATGCACATGAACCATTTGGGGCTGTTACCAAGAAGTGAAACAAAATTAGTCAAGAACTATTTGATTTTTATTGCATTATTTGAAGTCTGCTTTCTTGGCCTTACAAATATTATTAATTTGTTCCAGATCCAATTAGAATGATCTTTTTGGGATCTTAAAAAGTAAGCGTTTCCATTTTGTATTTTATAAAGTATTTACAAACCTGTCATTTTATTTGTGTATAAGTAGCTCTCTAGCGACTGATTTCTCACTTGTCACCAGGAGAAATAGCAAGAGTTTAATTTCTGAACTTCATTGAAAAAAAATTAGTATGACCCAAACAGAGTATAAGGAGTCTAAAAGTCTAAAACACCAGTAATATTATGATGTTGAATGTACAGCACAGTGAGCCTATGCAACCATAATATGAAAGTGGTTTGCTGCATCCTGCCAGCAAGTTATTTTTGTATTTTTATATTTTTCTTGGTGAGGTGATCTATTAAATATCAAGTGGGTAACAGGAGGCTCCAAATCTTAATCAAAATCTCCTCAGAAATGTTAATCCCCACTCCCCTGCCCCACTTCTCTTTAACAAGTCACAAATTTGTAATCTTCAAATCACTGGAATATTTCAGTGACCTAAAATGCATGCTCAAGACAAGAAATGCAGTGTTTTGGTTTTGAAGCTTATCTTATGCAGCCCTTTTTTTGCAAACTGTGTGTTCTTTGGAATATTTGGTGACTGCTGTGTTGCATCCATCTACAAGCCTTTTTTAACCCTCGTTTTGGTGGTTTCTCTACATACAAACACCTTTCTGTCTCTGACTTTTTGTCTAAATATAGGCTATGATCTGCCCACTCTTTTTGGGTAGATTTTGAGTGAGAGGAAATGCTGTATGTGTCACCTCCTGAAATGTATTAATAGTTTCAGGAAGAAATATAAACAGAGACCGTATCAGCATCTCTGTGATTGTGTTCATGCAAAAGCTCAGCAAATTGTGTTGAAGAGTGCCATTTGTAAATAGCAAAGACAAAACAGAGGAATGAAAAAGAAAAAAATCCTGAGTTTCGGCTGCTTTAAAAGAAAACAGAAGAATGGCTGAAAATGTTAGCCGAAAAAAACTAAAACGGTTAACAGCAAACAGAACAGTGTGACAGAGAATGATTACACTAGAGACACAGGAAACCTGTGGTCAGATAGGCTGCATTCAGTTGTTGAAGCATCTCTGTTTGCTCTGCATTTCATTCACTGAGGAATCAAGCCACCATGATTATTGTTGCCTCACTCCCAGTGAGGTTTATGTGAGGGAGAAATTCAGCAAGTAAAAGTTTAGGATAGCTCATGAAAGGTTCAAATAGGGTTTACAAAGGAAAATTAAAATAAAATATATTCAGTCAACATTGGTGAGTTCTGTGCCACCACATGTCTCACTTACACACAAAGCTCGATTATTCTCTGTCAATGCTTGACACCCACCTTCTCACACAATGGAACAGTCCTGATGAGCTGTGCTCACTTGGCTGTGTCATAGTCCCTTGTTTGCTCACATGGTCCCTCTCACATTTTGATCTCTACATTTGTTACAATCCTGTATATTCTAATGGAAGAAAACTGAAGGATAGCTAACGCTTTGCAACAGGGTAAGTTTTTATCGCAGTATCCTTAGTTCATCATCTTAGGTGTTGCTGCAAGTTGAAGATATGTATTTTTATATTTCATATAGAAATATAGAAAAAAACTATTTCTTGATAAACACATTTTCTTTCTCTGAACTGTAGTCTCTTCTTTAGGTTGACTTGTCTAACATTAAGCCCTCTTCACTTATCCATGATTTAAAGATTATTTGGTTCAGTTTACCTAAACAGGATACTAAAACTGAAGTGTATGCAAAAGTGTTATATAAAAAACACATGTATGTTCATTCCATTGTTAGTGGAGAACAACGCAACAAGAGATTACACAAATGTGCTAATTGTTGAGGATTTTTGTTGTTCTCATTTATATGTGCTTCATTTACACAAATGTTGCATTCTTAAGACGACATGAAACTAACTTCAAAAGTGTGTAAATCTGTATGTTCAGGTGATTTTGTTCATATTAATCTTTGCATTTTGCTTGTGGGCATCATGGAGACATGACTAATTAACCTGTGTGGGCCTTTGGTCAAAGGACACTAAGTTTTACCAGTTGTAGTTTTACCACACTTTTAAGAGTGCGTATGGGAGGGTCGGATGGTGTTAGTGGTGATGGTGTCATACATCCGCAACAGCAGATATGTATTTAGGTGTGTGTGGATTGTAAGTTTTTGGTTCTTTAGTTGGAAGCCTGAGAATAAACCCGAGCAGATCAAGAGTACAAATATGACATTTATTGGTCACAAGCAAAGTATATCAGCGCTGGGCTCTCACAGACAAAGTTCCCGGAGGATCTTAGTTTGCAAGAGCCTCGATTTCCGGGTCCGATGGGCAGTTATCCTCTGGGCCGGGCCTCGAAAAGGGAGGACGGCTGGGCGTAACTGAGTGTTATTGGCCAATTTGCTCTGACAAGAACAAGCCAGAGGCTCCTAATTCATGCAGGTTTCAGTGAAATATGATAACAAAGTGTGTGTGTGAATGTTGACCTTGAAGATGTCTATCTACTGTAACAAAGAGAGGAGGAGGAGTAGGCACTGCCAGAGAGTTTAACACAAAAGTACAATTCTAAAGGGAATAATATGAATCTAGAAAGGAATAAAACAATCAGTCATTTACATGGATTAAGTTATAACATACTGTGCTAAAGTGAGTAATTATAGCCCACTTCTAACAGATAATAGACACTTTTAGTTGTGTTTGTTGTGATTAAAACACTGGAGGAACACACAATTTAAGCAACTTAATGGGTGGATATAGATAAATAAAGTTAGGGATTCACAGAATATATAACTTCTCAGGATTCTCAGGATTATTAATGGGGTGTTGTGAGTGTTTTAAAATTCAGCTAAAATGGACAATTTTACTCTTGCCTCAATACATGTGTGGAAGTGATGTGACTGTGAGTCTTTGAAGCGGTTGCTAAGGAGCATTTATTTCTCTACAATGTTAAAAGAATAAAACATTCAGCAGAGACTTCTCAAACAAAAACTAAAGATCCTGCCCTTGTTTGCTAAAAGAATGTGTTATACAGAGCGAAACAGAGAGGAAATTATCGTGAAGCCACATGTGCACCAAGAAAGTGAGCTTGAAATACCTTAACTGAATATGAGTGTACTTTGACACTAGGCTGTCAGTAAGCTGAAAGCAAAAAATAGTCGACCGCTGCAAGTCAGGTTGAGTGAGGCTGTTTTTTGAGAAAAGGGAAACATGGTGCTTTATCATTCACTTGATGACACATCGTAAGTAAATCTACCTACTAATTCTTGTTGCAGTCAATGGACCAAAAATGTATGTGAGGCACAGCAGACAGGTTCCACTGGGATAACTCCTGCCCCATGTACAACATGGAACCGACAGGTACAGCACACAAACTGACCTCAGACATTAAATGTGCACAGGCAAACAAATAAAATGGCTTACTACACGAAGTTCACAATTTTATAGAATTGGGGTTTCTTTCCTGTATAGGATTGCTTAATGGTTTTTAAGCAGAAAATGATAAGCCAGTTGTTTTGATTTTATCATCAGCTGGTTACTCGCCTACAGTTCCACCACCACAGCTGTACCACAGTGTCCAGGCCGTGCTGCCAAGAGACACGGACAACCAGCAACCCGCAAACTGTTTCAACAAAGGTAAAGTGTGTGATCAACTTCACCATGCACAAATAATCTAACTTTCGAGATATTAAGTTGTTAATTTTCATGTAAGTGATTGCAAAGGTTTTGATAAAGATCTCAATGAGTTACTGACCTTTTGCTGTAGATTTACTTAGCTTTTGTGTTGTTTGAAACTTTCATTTGTAAAACATTTTAATCAATGGATATATGCCTATGGAATTCAGCAAAATCAGCAGTATGGGACTATTTTTTTAGTCATCAGACTTGAATTAGGACTGCATGGAGAAATTTGTGACATATTTAGTCAGTGTGTTTGTGTGGTTCTTATGTTTATTATGTGCTAATCTCTCGTGGTGTGTATGTTTGTAGGAATGCTAAGATGGACACTTCATAAGAAAGTTCGAAACAATCCTGGCAACAGCTTGTCTCTGGTTTGGGTGCTTATTAAAGAGCTCGAAAAGGTACTTGATTTATCTGGTGATGCTGTCAACAGTTTTTAATTACACTTCATGGCAGATGATTGTTTTTGTGGAAGCATTTGCCTTTAAGTGTGTTCTGAAATGTTTTTTCTGAAATGTTTTAAGATAAAGCTATCTTGGACATTTGATAACCGTAGTAAAATCTGTTTGTCTGTTTTCTCTGCAGGCAGAAAGATGGGATTCTCGCAAATGTATCATCCCTTTGCTTCACACGCTGATGTATGCAATTATTCAGGTACGGTATTTCTGCCAAAATCTTGTGCCATGAATAACTGCCTGAGACTTGCTTGGTGAGCTGATCTGGTTTGGTTGGGTCAGAGCTCGTCAGAGGCAATGCCAAACCTGACTACTTGCACAACATGTTTGTTTGACTAATTGAATGACTCAAACACATTGTAATTCAATCTTTTTTTAGGTGTGTTTAAATGTCGGTAAATGTTTAAATGCAGGAAGAAGAATTTGTCAAAATCATGGAACAAACAAGGAAGTTTTTACCTGAAGCTGTTCCAGTTAAATCTGAACTGTATATATTTTTCCTCATACTTTAGTGCCAGCTCTGTGATAATTATCATTTGATTTTCTGTTTTTCATGTATTACATGCAATTTTTTTGTGCCATTTCAGACTGCCTTCATTCCAGATGAACTGTACAAGCGCGTTTATGACTTTTGTAAGAGATTACTGACATATCCTCATCCATATTGCACAGTTGGCCTCAGCTACACAAAACAGATGAAAATTGAACGCATTATTCCAGGTATTGATTTTCAACATTACCAAAATCACCTTTTGGCTGTAAATGGTACACACCAACTATTTAACATTGCATTAAATAGCACATTATTCTGATGTCTTTGAACATTTGGGAAGATGTTAAACAGTAAATCTGATTACTGATTACCATCATCGGCTCATCAGAGCCGATGATGGTATATGATATATGATATATGTCAGTTTATAGACATGATAGGTTTGATAATCCACAACCTTTGCAACAATTCTAACAATAAATTCCTCTTATCACCAGGTTTAATGTACCAGAGGTTGGTCACAGCAGAGCAGAGACTGAAAAATGAACACTATCCCTTTCAGGAGAGGTGATACTTTGGCAAACAACTTTTACAAAACAGCACAATTGACACTTCCAGTAGTGGAATTTCTCAAACTGTCTTCCTTTGGTGTCATTAATTATCCAAAGGGTTTTTATTTTGGCCGATCCACTGGTCTTCAGTGGTTCCTTGATACCTCTTCTGTTTGGAGATTTTGAAGCGTCTACCTCCACATCAGCTGGATTTCAAAGTCCTCCAGATCACATGTGCAGTGTGGTCCAACACACCATACAGGCTGTTTTGGGAGCAGAACAGTGTCATGGGCTGAAACTGGCTCAGGCAATGAGGGTTAGTAAAACTGCACAGTTTGTTTAATTGATCTAATTAGTCACTTTGTACTTTTCAGTTTCTTCTTTTCCCAGTCACATTCTGTTCCGTATGTCTGCTCTAACCGTATGCTCTATCATTTACTAGTTAACTTTAATTAGTTATAATGACCCTATAAATGTAATTGTGGATTGTTGTCCTCATGGAATCACCTCTGCTGTCAATGACGCATGTTTTGACATGAGTCACTGAAGTTATGTAAAAGACTCAAGCTGTCGCATTGTCTATTGTCCATCTCTTTTTCTAATAATGATGTAAATATTTGTAACTAATTTAAAACTAGTGGATCCATAGTACAACTGAAACATCAAGAGTTTGGTTACAGTTTTGAGCCTGGAGACGTCCTTTCTGACAGCCTATTTTAACTACATTGTGTCTCTGGCCCTGGTCCAAACATAACGCCTTAGCAGGACATACTCTCCCTCTCCTTTATGCTATGAATACATAGCCTGTATATATTTGACTTCCCGTGAGTGTGTGTGTTGAACAATCTGTCTTGTGTCAATGTGTTTTGGAACAGGACAAGTATCAAGACATTGAGCCTTACTTTCAGGAAGTGTTAGCGATACTAGAGCAGAGCGCACAGGAAGGCAGTAGGGGAGATGGTGGAGCGCTAAGAAGCCGCCTTCAGCAGCTGTACAGCAAGATTGTAGCTGACACAGACACAGGTATTTTCTGTTTACTCTGCATCATAAGTCAACTTTCTGATATGTCTAGACATCTCTGAAATACTGTCACATTTGTTTATGTTAAACAGTTTGAGAGAAATGGAGAAAGAGAAAAAAAACACTAACATACTCAGATGTTAGGTTCTTAAAATAATTCAGTGCAGATTTTCACACAGTAAGACTAGAATCTTTTGTGAAAACATCAGCTTAAAACACTGATTGAAATCAAACCTGTCAACTTTATGTATGTGGTTTCCTCAAAAGCCAAATCCGTTCAGTCAAATGTGTGTATTACTTAAGTTCATGGATATCTATTTCCAGTCTTACACCCCGCTGTCATCTTGTTCTGGCCTACTCTATAGTCATTCCTGCTTGAAGTCAAAAGGAAGGACAAGAGTGGTAGTTGTGGAGGTGGTGGTGGATGTATGTGAGTGTTGTTTTCTGAATGTTTAAACGTTAGTTTTCCATGTGTTCTGCAGAGCCATTGTGTGACGGACCATTGTGCGATTGCCCTCTTCCTAACCCCAAGATTAGTTTCCACCTGTGGACGGAGGACCTAGATATCTGTGAGTGGCTCTGGATGCTATTGGTTTCCCAGTGGCATATAGTAGCACATACTAAACTGATCAATTTTAAACATGTATCTAATAAAAATTAAGACAAAATAACATTTAAAACACAGTCATTTAATTGGATTGTGTTTTTCAATTCCTAGCAAATCATAAACTTAGTTTCTGAAACAATACTGAAAAGAAGACAAAGCTCTTTGAAAGTAAAATATGATATTCAAAATATTCACAGGGCGAGAGCTGGCCAGGTCGTTTCGAGCCAGCTGCACTTCTGAGCAGTTTTCATCCCTCAGCCAAGAGCAAGAGGATTTTGAGCTGGGTGAATCACCCTGTGACCTGATGCCATCTGACATGACCCGCTTCTCTGTTATGTCCAATGACAGCGGTATTGAAAAGGACTTTCCACCTGGTTCCGATCCTTCTCCTTCGTCCTCTCTAGACCCTTCCAACATTAGTGCATCATGGGAGCACTGCAAAACGTGATTACTGGTGTTTTGACATTTAATGTCATGTCCAATAGCACTTTATGCATTCTTTAATTGACTTGATACTTCTTCCAGGGAGCTAGAGTCAATGAGGCTGTCACGCCGTGGGGGCATCAAATTTAAACCATCTGCAAAGGAAAGTATGGTGCTGATGCAAGACACGTTGGAGGACCACCCCAGTGTAGGAGGAGGTGGGAGCAGAGGAGAGAACAGAGGGGTCACTCTGCAGAGGCGGGCAGGAGCCAGCTCCATGCAGAACTACTTTCCTAAGCCTCAGAGACACTTTACTGCCAGGATTGTCATCATGGGTGATGACAGGGTCGTGGGCCGCCTGGCTAAGGCCTACTATTTCTTCAGGTAAGGTACTTAAAGTCATCTTGATAAAACTCCTCTGAAAGCAGCTTTCGGGTTTTGTAATAATGGCATTAGCTTTTGCACTGCAATACATGACGTGGAATATTACTTTGTTTGTGGCTGCAAATTATAAAGCCTTATTATGGTTTATATCCCTTTATTTTACTATAAAAAGGTATTTTACATACATAATTTAAAGCCAACTTCACAAACTGTACACACAATACATGAACAGTTGGCATTGTGAAATATTTTTATTTAATTTTTAAGTCAAATGGAAGTAAACAACACATATTTATATGACTCAGGTAGAAATGGATTAGCAGAATACACGATTTCTGGTTTGTTATAGAAGACCGTGCTTATGTCACAAATGTCAGACTGCTCATAACGAAATGATATACACACACACAGGACTTCTCATAAATATTTGGTTGGGTCTCTGCAGGAAAAGGGAAGCGCGGCGGCTTTTTCTGACAATGAAAGTCAATCTCCAGTTTTACTACATTCCTGTTTGTATGGTCACAACTCCCATCTCCCCAGCCAAGGTGAGGCAGCTTCCTCTATGAAAACAACACGGTTATTGTGTCAGGCTCAAAACATCCAAATATAAATGAGACAAATGGTTAATGATGTAACATAAGATCACTATGGGTGAATCTCGGTGTTGTCTCAAAGTCATCTTAATGAACACCTAGTAGATGCATATACATTCAACAATTGAATTTTAGCTGTATTTGTAGGGAGTTAGCATTTACAAAAACCACATAGTCAGTCATGCCTTAAAGTTACCACTGTTATTTTGCAGAGTTGTGCTTATTTTTTTGTTTCGCTTTCATCTTCCTTTTTATAGGAAAACCTCAATCATTCCAATGGAGACTCCTGCTCTCTTGGTTCCTACTTGAGCAATGTTGATCCATGGTACAACTGCAACATCAAGAGTTTGGGCAGCACAATTCATAATATGGCTACTATGGTATGATACAGTGACATCTGAAATGTTAAAACATTCAGTAATAACCCTATTTGAGTGACTGAGACTCAAAGACAAAATTGACTTCCTTTAGTTTAGTTATGTTTTCTCTCTATAATCAGGGTGGTAGTTTGCCTCACAGACCCATTGAGAAAATATTACTACATTAACAAATAAACATTCAGTCAACCAGCCGGTTGCTTTTTGCACAAGCTGAAAGTTGGAGTTGAAAGTTGGAGTTCCATCATAAGATCACATTTTTGACGCAACTCTAACTCTATACTCTTACACAGCCAGTATAATAATTAGAACACAGGAAAGAAATGTGCAAAGAATATAATAAATTTAAAAAACCCTTCGTTCTTTTTTAGAAAATTCATGGAAAGGGCCTTTTGATTCTACAAGATGTGCATTTTGCCTCTTTTGTTGTTCTTCATCAGATTTAACAAGATTTATCTTACCAAAGTTAAGTCGCTTAAAACATCTTTGAAACTGATGTTTTAGCGTAATGTTACTAAATACCAAACCAATATTTTTTAAATTACATTTTGCTTGTTGGTGATGAAGTAAATTTTAAAATTGTTCACTTTTCTCAGCATCAAGCAAATCCTGGGAGGCCGAAAGAACCCTTCATATCTGATGTCATTTCCTATTACATCCGCTGTGGTCAGCTACCTGTCTACTTCACCATCTACTTTGTTAAGGTACATTGCATTTTCAAGTGGTTTTCTCACTATAAAACCTAAGTACTTGCTGAAGATATCTCTTGGTTCATAAATGCACATGATTTCTAATAGATTACATTCAACAACACCGCAAAGGATCCTATGGAAGATGTATTCCTTACCAATCTGGAGATAGAATTTCCAGAATTCAGGCACATCTCACCATCAGTTCGAGGTGAATTAGCATGATTTGACACATTGCAGTATTTTTGTTTTCCTCAGTATTTGTTTTGTTTGACCTCTTTCATGCACATTTAATTTACAAAATTCAGTTATGATATATTGTTACGCTGTTTGCCTTTTCTCTTTGAGCTTTTTGTAACTGAATTATTTCTAATTCTCAAACAGATAAACATAAGAGGAACTCGGGTGATGTGTGTGGAGCTGTTATCTCTATGAATTACAAAAAGGTACACTACTTTTTCTTCTGATATCTTAACCACCAGTGTAGCTGAACGCTTACCAACAAATGGGGGTTTTCATTAGTACATACTCAGCCCTACATGCCTTGGTACAATTCGATGTAGGTGCTTTTTCATTACAAATTAGGTCCCTGATGTTATTTATATGTGACATAAACGAGAGACAACAATGAAGGATATTGCAGCAATGATATACCGACCAAACCTTGGTGTTGAACGCCAGTGTGGATCTCTGTATTAAGCATTTACAGTGTTTATTATCACAGATATAATTAAATTGAAGGTTTGTTTTTACCTTTTTTTTTTTTTTTATTGGGCAGGGTTTACGCAAAGGACTATCAAAGCCCAGCCAAGTAGGTGCAAAGATTGTAACTGTAAAGAGTGTCATAATGGGAAATGCAAAATAAAAAAACATATAGAGCCACTTCAAGGCACACTGAGTAGATACTAATGGAAAAGCCCCAATATTAGCTGTTTAATTTCTATATCTCTATGCATCCTTTTAGTTTACCTGCATTTGTTGGATAGTTAAGCGTTTGTATATATTTCTGTGCACATATTTCCAGATGACATTAAGTGGCCGAGATGTTGACAAAGGAATATCAGTCAGAACATCAGGGGCTCAGATTAATGCTATTCCTTTGAGTGAAGTAGAAGGTAAGTATTACGTCTTTTAAATCTATTTCTTAATACTGCTCTGGCCAGCTCGTGATAAAAGTAACCTCAGGACAACTTTTTTTAAAAGCACAAGTTTTTTATGGCATGAACAAAATATTACAAGATTCTCGTCTGTTTATATCTCATGCCTGATACATTCCCCAATCCTTTTATGTCATAGACCTGAACTGTTTGACTCTGACTCTGAATGAAGCTCCTGTAAAGCCAAAAAACAACACAGTGGTGAGTCGAAGCAACACAAAAGGATTGATATCATATAGCATATAATGTAATTAGCTTGTATAGCATTTCATCATTTTAACGTTTCATTAACGTTTTGGAAATTGGCAGGAATCAAAGATCCGGACCAGCAACATAAAAATTCGTACTTTGGAGAGCCGATCCTTTAATCTTACCCTGGACAAAGACAGTCGAAGGACCTACAGAGATGTGCAGAGGTAACAGGGTTGGGTCTCATTTATTTTTGTTTGCACCACTGAATTCTGATTTATTTTATTGTTTGGTTATTTTTTGTGAAACCCAGACTGATCTCTGTAATATCTCATCTGTAGCATTGAAGTCTCCCCTTGCCTTGATCCTGGATATTGCATACAGAAAGCCATGAGGTCCAAATTCAACCTGGGAGAGGATAAAGACGCTGGACTGAGCAAATACATGAGCAAAGCACTTCCTTTACCTATCAACACATTCGCTGGCATCGTCAATTGATGCAAAGAAGTGAAAAATCAGGCCATCTGCATTGTTCTGAAAGCGGGAACGGCATTCATCTGCCTAACCAGCAACTCATCATGAAAAGACAAAAAGATAACTTTTGAGTCACAATGAACCACTCCTAGAACCAAGAAGACGCACCTCTGTTAGTGTGCACTCACTATTACAAATAAAATAAGAAGACTGTCATTTAAAATGTACATGAACGGTTGTAGCTTTGATTCAGTCCACTGAGCTACAGTATAAGGAGGTTTTGTCACTCTCCAATTCATGAAAGAATTTCCCACTCTTTGTAAAAGACCTCCTCTGCATAATATAATAATTATTGGCAATCTTTATATGGCATTTATGTTGCCAAAGGTACACGTTTCCTTTCAGAATTTTGCAGTGGAATCAGATGATTAGTGTTATTCACTTTACCTAAATGCTGTGAATGATCAGTGATTGTGCCTCTGTGCAAGGGAGCAATTCAGGGAGCAATTTGCCACATAGAGACATCACTTAATTTGACAGTTATTGTAACGGATGCTTTACTTTATGTACACACTACCTTTTACCGCCTTTGTGACACAGACACACACAATTTTACACGTGTGCATACACACTTTTGAACATCTCCTAATAGTTATTAAGTTCACCCACTTGTTTCTCTAAGAACAGTTCAGATGACTTTCTCATTCCTGCAATCTGCTACATAATGACAGCTGTAAGAAAAGCACAAACTATTGACATTCCAGACATTTTTCACAGCCACATGGTAGCAGTGTCTCAGCTAGATAGATGTTTAGCTGTGAAGTTACTAATGAACAAAAGCAGCCTTTGATTATATCCAAAGCTGCTGACTGCAAGTGGCATGCTTTGTGATTTATCAGACAAATTCCTTCATTTGAACATATTTGATTTTAGTACATTAATGAAATCTCTCAGATCTGATTTGTGATTATCATCACTTACTGTTAGTTAGTATGCCTAGTGTGATATCACTGGCGTATTTGCAATAACACTGAAGTTCTGATTCTTTTGAGGGAATAAATCAGCTGTTTGCATAAATCTATTGAACTGATTTTATGTGTAGTTACGGTGAAACAGTCTAGTGCAATTCAGTCATGTTACTCCAGTTAGGTTATCAGAGGCTGTTGAAGATCTGATGCAACTACCTGTTTTGATTTAGTCTTTATTAATAGTGAAGATACATTTTTGGTTTTACCTGTAATTTTTTAAGTGTCCGTGTGTATCTTCTTGCCTGATATGGTTTTGCACCTTTATGTCCATGTAATATCATATACTCAGAATGACTTGACGGCCTTGTGTGAATAAATGAAATATGTTGTCTTGTAAAGCAGTTTAGGTGTTTTCTCAAAAGTCTGAAAAAATTATGCTTCTCTGCATTTTTTGACAAGTGGTTGTTAGGTGGTGTCGTCACATCCCAAACTATTGAAACAATGATCCTTCAGTGCTGCATGAAAACAATAACCTGCCAGAGCAGCTTGATATTTTTGCTGCCTTTTCTGCAACAGGTTTTCGGCTGACTGTTGGTGACAAACAGCCACAAAGAAAGCACAAGATCCTCCTCCGTGATAGTCTTGTTTGTTTCCAAGCCTCCACAAATGGAGACCAGCTGCTGTATCGATGGAGAAGAAACAAGGGTTTTGTCTCATCAGCATGGTGTGTGTGGTTGTTTGTCTCTGTGTTTCCCTGCGATGGACTGGGTACCTGTCGAGGGTGCACCCTGCCTTTCGCCGATTGTCAGCTGGGATATGCTCCTGACTCGTGCAATCCCACTAGGAATAAGCGGTATAGATAAACGGTAAATAATAGATGGATCATTTGAATGATTCTTATAGTTATTAGTATAATGTTTTGGTTTTTTCTTTTATCCACTTAGAATTTCAGAAATACTAAAACTAAAAAAGTGAGTTGGCTAATGCTACGTGCCACTTATCTATGTGTTTTGTTATTATTTTTTCAAACGTATTGTTTATTTGATTATAAATATAAGTGCAACAAACAGAGAGGGGATGTATGATATGTGCCGTAATACTTGCTTATTTGAAAAAGTCCTTTCCTTTTCCTATCCTAGATCTCTGTAATTATCAGTCAGCATTCTTGGACATACCACATCATACTTCTCCACTCCAATGTTTATCCATGTTCCATTAGTCTTTTACCATTATTCAACCTTGTTACAAGTTAAAGTGAGAAAAACTATCAAGCTCAAGTAAGGTAAGCGTCACTGAAATAATAAGAGCAAAGGAAAAATACAGAAACAAGCCCATCTCTTATCAAACAACTTGGTTTTCAACGGCTGTCTTGCTGTGATTTTCTCTATGATGAGAACATGTTTCACCTTGTCTCTCTATTGTGTTATGATTTGGGGCTGTGGTTTCAACCAGTTATTGTCTTTTCTGCTATCATCAGCAGTATTGTCAGCATTTATCTGCAACATTATTTGGGACTATACCCAAAATGTAAAGTGCCGGTCCCAGAGGGAATTCAATACCCTATCAGATTGATCTCCTTTTGTTGAAAGATACATCTAACAGATGCACTGGGAAACATCCTCAGTGATGCAACCTTGGGCCACTGGGTGTTTCGGGTCTTTCAAGTATCAGACAAGACACCAGGCGACCCGACGGCCTCTGTCCCAGAAGCGTTAGCCCACATGTACGCCCTCTTTATCCATAGCCACCTTGTGGCTTCTGTTGAGGCCTTCTTCTTTGCCTATCCAGAGAGGCCCAGCAGTGTGAATACTTTGCAGAGTGACTGGCCCCGCAAATCATCGATTTCTCTGATAGCCCAGGCTATGATCAACTGTAACTATATTTACTAACTTTGGAGGTTTACTTTGTTTTACTTTATTACTATATTCAGTACTGGATTTTATATAACTTACTAATGCCTTTGTTCATTTTAAGAGTTATAATCAGACACTGAAATCATGTTATGTCTATAGTTGTACTTGCAAATTTTTCTCTTTTTCCCATGAGACATTAGATAAACGTCTTCAAGGACAACACTCAAACAGACACATTTCTTATCATATCCCAGTCGAACCTGCATGGATTGGTACAGATGGTACTGGCCAACAAGGCCCTGATGCATCCAGCCTTCCTTCTTCACGGGGCACGGCCAGCCCAAGAAGACACCTTGAACTCTGGGCTCTTTTTTGGTGGCGATCCTTTGACAATTGAGAGCCTAGCGCTGATTCACTTTGCATGTGACCTGAATAAATACCGTTTTGCACTTCGATCATCTCTCTTGATTATTCTTAGACTTTCAATAAAAGCGTTTTAGTTGGTATTTAAAACATTTCATCAACCACTTCATCAAATTATTTCAATTCAGTGGGTTGCCTGGTCTGCTTCCCTGTTTACCCCTACATAATTATACCATCCATCCATCTTCTTTCATTTATCTTGAGTCAGGTCAAAGGGCCAACAGTTGGGAGGCCCAGACTTCCCTCTACCAGGTGGTATCAACCAGCTGGTCTGGGTTGTTCCCGTGGTGTTCCCAGGCCAGCTAAGAGACCAGTGTGTGCTAGTGGGCCTCCTCGTGGTGGGACATGCTGGGAAGACCTCATCAGGGATGTATCCAGGAGACTTCCTGACCAGCACCTCATCTGACTCCTCTTGATGTGGAGGGGCAGCAACTCTACTTTGAGACCCTGCTGGATGACCAAGTGTCTCACCCTGTCTCTAAAAGAGAGCCCAACCACTCTGCATAAGAAACTCATATAGGCTATTTGTAACTACGATATCGTAGTAGTTAATAGATATGCCTTTGTATGCATGATATATCCATACATCCATTCCTTGGGGGACAAGGACCTTTCTGTGTGGAGTCTGCATGTTCTTCCTGTATCTGTGTGGGCTCCCTCCAGGAATCCCTGGCCCTACAATGGAATCGCAACCTGTCCAAGGTGTGCTTGTAGTCAAATTGTCCACTTAATTGTAACAGAGACAAAATTACATTTGCGTTTAACAATATGTTAATTACCTTTTCAAATACTTTCGCTAGTTTTAAGGGACTAAATAAGCATTGAACACTGCTGCTGATTTGATGTTGCAACGATCCGCTGTTCTCTACTGACATCTAGTGGTCATAAGAACCGAGCTTCAGTGTTTTCCACTGCCAACTTGAGTTACACGTCAGAGGGGAAACCTGTACTTGTGAATGGACGTGTACTCTGCGCGTCAGACGTGTCCCGGATGAAACAAACACAAACATGGAACGGGTGGTGGTGAAAATGCCGATGACCAACGGTGAGGTACACAACGACCTCCATGTATTACGGCTCTATGCGGTCTATGACAACACAACCTACACTGCATTAGGTGTCTCTTTGCACGCGTGCACCCCCAATGACTCCTCCGAGTCGTTTGGGTTCAGCTTTAAAACTGCTGTTGTTGCCACAGAGCGGCTACAAGCTCCACGCAGACCCGTATGTTTCGCTTCCGGAATAATATATTTTTAAAGATGTATGACTGAAGGCTGCTCATCCTGATTGTAACAGAGAGACAGAGCTTCTGTCACCGTCTAACAGCAACTCGTCAATTGACATAGTTCCGCCCCCAAAACAACACAGCCCCATTTTGACTTTATTGACACCGTAGTAATCTTTTTTATATGAGGAAATGGCTGGGAAATACGCTTTTTACATTTTTTAAAGATACTAGAACATTTCTAAGATCTGATAAATGTTGTTTGTAGTATATATTTGGCTCTTTTTCATAAAACATTCCATTAGATTTAAATTATCTGAATAGTATAATGATACGTATCTTGATAACATGAAAGGAGAATTCAATTTAGCATTTTGACTTACAAAAAAAGATTGGATGTAAGGGAAACCTTAGTGTCAGACAAACTTTTCCATTTTATTTCAACCCCAGATTTTTCCATTGCTTGCCCCTCTACAACACCCCGAAAGCGGCAGGTACGTTTCTCAGCACGCCATGACATCATCCTTCTGCGAGAGGTTATTGCCCAGAACCCCTTTGCCTCCAAAGAACCAGGTATGTGAGGTTAAAACAGTCTTAATCCACTGTAAGACAATGGCATTGTTCAAAAATGTAATCCCTCTGTGATGAATGAGTTGTTTAGGAAGAAACATCTTTTTTTCTTTTTTGAAGTTGAATAAAAAAATGGGCAGTAATGTTACTCATTGATACTACCAGGACGAATCTGGGCCCGTGTAGGGGAGATTATCACTGCCGCCCTCCAGGAGGAAAGCTTTGAAGTGGATGCCAGGAGATGTAGGGAGAGGACCATGCTGCTGCTGGACTATTACAAGAAACAAGACTTTCCCAGTCTCCGCAGGTTGGTTGGTTCAGTAAACAAGCTGCTCAACTGTACTTATTTGATATGAATAGGAGCTATTGTGGCTAGGGTATCTGCTATGCTTGAAAAATAGTTCCAATTTAGTATAAGTGCTTTTGTTCTGCCTCAACTCAGGTTTGGAACGGAGCGATTGTATGCCCAAAAGGAGGACCTTCTTCTTGAGGTTTTGGAGCTGGAGGCTGAGAAGGGGCTATTAAACAGCGGGGAGGGTGCAAAGTACCAGGTCAGTTAGTGTCACTGCCATAGGTAAAAGAGTGGCAATGTCCATCTTTATTGATTTATGTGTTTGTTTATTTATTTATTTAAAATCCATCCATAAATCCATTCATCCATCCACATCCTGTCCAGGGTGTGGATGGATAAATAATATTGTACCCAATAGTATCAGAACAATACCCCATAAGAGGTTAAAAAAACAACAACAGAAAAAACCTGCTTCTGACTATTCAGGGTGACTATGTGCTTTACTACTACTTTAGTACTACTGTACTATCAGTCCATCACCAAGCTGACATGAAGACAAATATCCATCCAGACTCATTCTCATCATTAGTGATCAAATCTGACAAATATTCATGATTTTCATTTTTCTAACCAAAACTCAAAACTGTCAACAGTAATGTCAGTCATATTTAGAGTTTTAGAGGGAGTACCAGAGAAAACCAGCATAGGTAGGACATAGGTAGAACATGCAAATTATACAAAGAAAAACTCAGGTTAAAATCATTGGGTAAAACAATGACATTCAAGTTAGAAAGTGTTTAAGGGGTTGACATAGATTATATGAACGATTTAAGCTTTGATGTAATATTTATTGTAATTAATGTGTGCTGCTGCCCTTCTCACTGTAAAAAGGATATTTGATCTCAGTGGGACTAACCTGGTTAATTAAAGGCTAATAGGACGTTAAAATTAAGTTAAAAATGCTCTTTTTATTTAATTGTAGCTTAGCTCAGCCATCAGGATTGCTTCTGGTTGGGCAGTTTTTTTTACAGCATTTGAACACTAGAATTCATACAAATTGAAAACCAAAATATGAATATCATTTTTAAGATCATCTATAACATGGATAATACTTTTGACGTTTTTAATTGATCCAGGCTGTGGAAAGTTCAATAAAGGCAACTCTCATGAAGTTAGAGCCCAGTGTTGTCGACTCATTTTGTCATTTTATCGAATTTGATACCATTATGTTTCTACATATAGTGGTTTTCACTCCCAGATCTTAAATATGGTCACTGGTCTTTTTTCATTTGTTGTTAGATAAGTATATTTGTCATTCCTAGGATGAAGAACAAAGGAATCACGCCATCGAGGAAATGACTTTACCAGAACAGGATAAGCCAGATATCACCCAAATCCGCGCTGCAGGTAAAAGGTTGTGTGAATGATTGGATTCTTACACATGCACCATTATTGTTAGTGGACGAATGTTTCATGGCAATGCATAACTTGAAGTGGAGCACAAGTGATATATAGCATTCAAATTATTTGACATACTGTATTAATGCTTCAATGTACATGTTAATCTGACTTTACATTATCATCTGCTAGCTGGGGTTTCTTTAGAAATAAAAAGATTTTGCCATGATTACAGAACCAGAGGAAGAACGTGATCACATGACAGAGCTTTCAGCAGCACCCACAGCCAAGCAACCTTGCCAGTGTTGCTGCCAGACGTATTCTGAGATTCTGAGTTTTCTGGAGAAACGCTCAGAGGCAGAGCAACGGTTGCGTGAAGAGGAGCTTTCTTTGCGTCGGGAGGAGTTGGAGATTCAAAGGAGTAAGACAATTTTAGAGTGCCACTGTATGTTTTTCTATTTAAAAAGGGTTACAATTTAGCTCTGAATATAGAACTGACAGACAAAGAAGGAAGGGGTGGTCACATGTGTTGATCATTCTGATCATTTGCGATAAAAAAGCATGAAATTATCAGAATGATAACTGCTATGAATGCTGCAGTTATGTCACTTTAAGCACAGCACAGTAGTTCAATGTAAATCAATGATTTTGTGTTGTCTTTATTTATTATTCTCGCCTTCCTATTTTATTTCCGTAGGTAAGATCACCCTGGAGAGGGAACGTTTGGACGCTGACAGAAAAGAGAGGGAACGCAGATTTGAGCTTGAAAACCAAGAGAGGCAGGTCATCTTGGACCTGTTAAAAGAGAAGGTCTTGAAAGGGTGAAAGGACACCCACAGCCTTTGCCTGCATTTGTGATTGGGGGTCAAATGGTAAAAGCAGGAAGTGAAATACTAAAACAGGAAGTGAGAGGATCAAGGTTTGGTGGAGTGAATTAGAATTGAAGATGAAGGGTGTTGATCTATTGAGTAGTTCCACACAGAAGAACTACAGATACTCATTCAAATATATCACTTTTTATCCATCCATTTTCTGCATCACTTATTCCCAACGGTGTCACTGGAGCCTATCCCAGCTGAGAATGGTTGAGAGGCAGGGTACACCCTGGATAGGTTGCCAGTCCATTGCAGGGCCAAGAGACAAACAATCACAGACCCACATTTACTTGTAGCAAAAATTGAGTGTCCAATTAACCTAAAATGCTTGTTTTTAGACAGTGGCAGGAAGCCATAGTACCTGTAGAGACCTCTTGTAGACACAGGGAGAACATGGAAACTCCACACAGTAAAGTCCCGCCCCCCCAGGGACTCGAACTGGGAACCCTCTTGGAGATGTATTTAAGATTTTTAGCATTTTTTTACATTTCTATTGTGTTGTATAAACTACTATCTCCCTATGGCAATGCAAACATAATCAAAGACAACACCTGTACCTTCAGCATTTTGCACATATGGACATCTGACCCATAGTGAATCCCAGTGATTTCAATGTTTTTGTAATACATGTTGAAAATAATTACTACAACAGTAATGCGATGCAGAATGCTTTGCATTCTGTTCTATATCTTAACAACTAGGAAAACGGAACCTTTTAAGCTTGATTATTATCCTTTGCAGCAAAATGTTGGACCTCTTTTTCATGAACAGACCTCAGGTTGTTTATACTGCACTTTCTGGATTCCTTATTTTTACCCTGTGCACCCATGACTGTACACCAAGACCAGAAGAGATGTTGATGAAGTTTGCAAATGGCACAACAATAAAACAAATTATCTGATCCTTGATTTTAAAGAGAAAACATACTGGGAATCAGTTTCCATTGAGAACTTGCACTGTAATTTCAAATCTCAGCAGTGGTTAGAAAAACAAACAACAGCCATTTTTTAGGGTAACTTAAGAACGTTAATGCCTCATGTCATAGTTTTGCCTTAATATGGGATCAGTCTAAAAAACAGATCATTAAAACTACCCAGGACATTACCAGGACCTACCAGGACCCAGGACCTAGCTAGATATCTGTTCATGGGCAGCATAGTTATGACTTACTCCTGGATTCTGTTGTTTGTTCTGTTCTTAAATAATGACATTTTGTTCATTTACTTTTGTTTTCTTAATGACAACGCAGGGATTATCTAATTTAGGTAAGAAACCCCTAAATAATTATCTGTATACCCCCCCTTTTTTCATCCTTTCTCTAAACACCCCTGGGGAAAGGGTGAAAAGAAAAACAAAATGCATTATATTAATAAAATTAATAATTCATTACATAATGGCCGTCTACGCAAGCTAGATGAAGAAGACAGTGGAAAGAGGAACTTTGGGGGTTGTTTTGCTCCTATTATGAGGTATGCAGACCAGAGAAAATACGTATAGTTTTAAGAAAATCAAATGCTTGTAAGCTTTCATCTGTAGATGGTACAAGATCAAGTCAATTTAGGAGGCAATGTAATGTTCAGTGAAAGTCAGATCATTAAAAATATGGGTCTACATCTGTATTTTTCAGTTGGCTGTTTTGCTAAGTTAACCTCCAAACAGTAGTATTTTTTCATCTTACAACTACTACGTTATTTTCAGTAAAGTGAGCAGTGTTTTACCTAGTAATGTGAGGCCACATTTTTATTCCAGTACTACTGTCAAATCAAATTTTCTTAATAACTTTAGCTCTTACTGCTTTTAAGAACCTGGTTTAGTTATGCATTCACCAGATCTCATGTATTTCAATGTAAGGTGTTTGAATACCAATAGGCAACATAGCTGATGGTAACTACAGCTAGAAACAATTTCGTGTCCCACATGCGAATGAAATTTAAAAAAGAAAAAGATGGTAAAAAATGTTGTCTTGATATGTTGTCTGATATCTAGTCTTGGTTTTACTTTGAGTATGAATGGTGTATATCTTTATTCTATAAAGATATATATACATATACAGATATATATATATATTTTTTTAATGAACATATTAAACCGAACAGACATTTTCGCTCGTGCTTGCTGCAGGTTACTATGCCTTTAATTTTTTTTGCCGTTGCGCCTCAATTGTAGGTCATACAAATAACACGCTCTGATTGGTGAGTGGTATGGGTTGCTGTTTCAATCCTGCTTCTGATTGGTTTTCTTGTACCTCTTTTGTCAATTCAATGAACGCACGCTCTCTGCGATGTTTTCGAGTTGTGATGGCAGTACAAAAAACTGAGTGGCTATTTGCATTCTACTTTGAGAAGGTTAAAGTGTAATTTATCTCAGCCATGTACAAAATTGTTAGTTGTAGCTCTCAGTTTCGTTCAAGTTAAAAAAAAAAAAAAACTCAGGGTCGGATGTAAAAGAATGATGGCCGCATGGCAAGAAATAGCTTAGTTTTCCACGCTGATGGTTTTGTTTTAGTCTGGGTTGTTTCATGTCACTTATACATTTGTTTTATTAGTTAGGCTCGTCAGCACAAACTCTAGTGCTGTTTTTACGTAGCATGTGGAGGGCTTCTGTGTCCTTTAGTTTACATACAATATTGAGTAGATAAACGGCACCAGTGTTTGCGTTTGTTTTAGGATCAATCTTCTTCGTGGCTATCTGAACCAAGAATTTGCTTGAATTTAGGTCATTGTAAAGCAGGTTTTTCTTTTCACGCCTACGAGCTATTTTATCGATTAGAGGGGTTTATTTAAAGGCACCATGCCCATTCGGCGTCTAGGGGGTCACAGGTCTCTGATTTCTTTTTCTCAAAGTACAAAGTTGTCTTATGGTTTTAAGAAAATGAATAGTTCACGAACTGGCTACCGTGTTTTTTCTGCCAATTCCACCACTGCCTGCACCGAGCTGGCCAAGAAGATAACGGAGTAAGTAAGATTCTGAGTAAGATGATATAATAACGGTCACGTATATCATGACCTTAATTATGTCATACTATTTTATATGTATATATGATATGATATAGACTGCAATAGTGTTAGTCATTTTAAGAGTGCCACGTCTGCGTTATGTGCCGTGTGTCTAACAGTCCAATTGGGAGTCAGCTGCAGATGACCTGAGGCAAGTTGGTGTCATGTTTTCAGTGCTATAAAATGAGGCTTTGTAAACATGCACATTCCTTGGGAGTATTCTGTGTGGTGACTTACTTAATTGGGATGAAAACCATTCTCTGTAATGTTACTTTGGTCGTAACCTCTACCTGCATTGGCTACTTGTAACACTAAAACATAGTTGAGATGACCAAGTCCCTTTTGCATGTTGATTGTTGATCAGACAACTTGCTGAAAAAGATTTTAAACGAACACTGCAAAAGTGTTTTGGGATTAGTTGTGAACTGAAGAACTAAACAGAAAAGCTAAAATTGTACTTTTACACAGAGATTTCCAACAGTTTTTTTTTCTCTTTTCTGTGTATACTGGTATGGTGTATATTTTGTCAAACCACCTATGAAACTATATATGAACATAACTTTAGCTTAGTTTGTATGTCAATCTTGCCGCAATTACATTGTTTTGAACTAAACCTTAATTTTTTCTAACTCTTTGATGACACTTGGCGTGTCTTTCTCTTTTGTCATCTTGTTTTATCCTTTTACAATTTTTTTAATGTGAAAATTATACAATATGGTATCTTCATAGTACTTTTACAGACAAGTGGTACATAGTAGGATGTGATTTACTACATTAAGTTAATACATGTTCTCATCCCTGAGTCTTGAGTAGCGACTACTTTTGATTTAGGTGTTTTTGGGGTAGGTGTTTGGCCGAGCTTATTATTCATTCGGTTGTACTTTGGGAACATTGTGAAACACTACCAGGGAGATTATGTGCCTGTTTTTCGCATGGAGCAAAGGTTAAATAACAGTCGGAGCACATAGAAAACATTTCATGAAAACTGTTTTGCTAAGTGTGAGAGATTCTTTAAAATGGTTCTGTGTGTGCGGAAAAACTGCAATAGCTAAAGTTGTGCCTTTTTTTCTAATAGTGTAAATTTCTGAATCATTAATATGCAGGAAATGCATAGGAATGATTAAAATGATGAACATTTTCTTTGAACTAATCAACTTAATGTTTAACCTTTTTCAAATTACTCCCATTTATGTTAAAGTGTTTTAAACAAGTATAAGAGTGTTGTTTAAACCATTTTGTGATTAATTTTTTACTTTTGCATTAACTTTAATCAGCCTCCAGACACCATAGAAAAATATTTGTTTGGCACAATTGTTACATGTATCAATGAAAAGAACAAATTAAGACGTTTCTGTATTAACTGTCTGGGTTGTTTCACTTTACCCAGACGCTTAGGTGTGGATTTGGGCAAGTCAGCAGTTTGTCAGGAGTCAAATACAGGTAGATCCCTTTAGTATGCTCGTATAACTTGATTCTACTTTTAATATAAATAAATAAGTGTATTTTTGTCATTTTTCATTTGAAAAATATTTTTTCTTTCTTCTGCAGAGACTGGAGTGGATCTGAAAGAATCTGTCCGTGGACAAGACGTTTTCATCATACAGACCATCCCCAGGTCAGTCAGGAGAAAGCACGTTATTTCTCCATTAACTATTTTTGATGACACAGCTGTTTTGCACAATGCTCAGTCGTTAAACTTGGAGACATAAAATGGAAGAAAAAAAACAGCTGAAAACTGGAAGAAAAGTTTTGACAACATATTAATATTAAGAAGTACAGAAACAGAATGTTTTGTAAGTTGTCTTTGAATTCAGTCATACAAAATACCACACCAATAGCTCCAGAAGTGTCTCTAATTTGATAAATCTTAAACTGTAAATCAATTCAGTTGTATATGTGTGTGTTGAGTGAAGCAGATTAAGTGAGCACAGTTATATAGGGCACATGTAAGCTTGAGGTTATATGTTCCAATAAGAGTGTCTGTTGGTACACCCAAATATCCACTGAAAAGGTATTTTCTAAACTGCAATAGCTTGATAGAGAAAGAATGTTTAAGTATTATTTCAAACTAAAGCTTTTTTTCAAACCAAAAATTTAAAGAATAAAGCAAGTGAAAACTGTGGCCTTTTCAAATATGTTTGCAGAACAAAGTAGCTGGCCTCATGTTTATAAAAGTCTACTTCCATATTTTAATGTTAAAGGCAAAAGTGATACGTGACGCATCTCAAAGGCATTTTTTAACAGCATTTATTTACAGATGATGCTATTGGCTCTTTATTCTGTTTGCACAAATACCTTCTTACACCTGCATTCTGATGTACCCTTTGTATATCCCTTACAGTGAGAAAACATGGTTGTCAACAGAGCCTGTTTAGAGGTTTTTGAGCAACAAAACTTGGTCAGTTTTGTGGGTATGGGTAGGCATAGATATTAATCTTTAATGGTTGGATAAAGAGCCAAGGAAATGTACTGTCAATGAAATGCCACAAAGCGGGAGAATTTTCTGTGTAACATACATTTTTCTTAATGACGGCCTTTTGGCATGCAGGAGATTGGACTAATCTTTTTTGGTGTGATGAATTACTAAATTATGTTCTTGTGGGCTTGATAACAGTGTCATTTAATAGGCTGTACATGTAAGCTTGTGTAGTTATTTGTGTATAAAAGAGATCTAATGCACATGCTTGCTTCAATGTATAATTTCCCAGAGATGTCAACACAGCCATCATGGAGCTGCTAGTTATGGCTTATGCACTGAAGACATCCTCTGCCAAGAACATCATCGGCGTTATTCCTTACTTTCCCTACAGCAAACAGTGCAAAATGAGGAAAAGAGGCTCCATTGTTTGCAAGTTGCTAGCATCCATGTTAGCGAAAGCTGGTAAGTCATACATGCACATTAAAACCCTAGAAAAATGTATTATATATGAAGACAATGTTGACCTTTTAAGCTATATTTAAGCTTATAAATACTAGCATGTATGGACTACATGTTGCTGGTTGCCATCCATGTTCCTGAGTGCAGAATGTAAATCGTTTGGCATTCTTTACACTTTCGCCAGTTCTTTGGCACTAATTTCAATATCTAATTTAATGTTTAACTGCTCTTAATAAAGTAGATTATCCAACAAAAGCTTTGTGAAAGCTAGTGCATATACAGGACTGTCTCAGAAAATTAAAATATTGTGATAAAGTTCTTTATTTTCTGTAATGCATTTAAAAAACATGAAATGTCATACATTCTGGATTCATTACAAATCAACTGAAATATCGCAAGCCTTTTATTGTTTTAATATCGCTGATTATGGCTTACAGCTTAAGAAACCCAAATATCCTATCTCAAAATATTAGAATATCGGATTTTTGAGTTTTCTTCAGCTGTACGCCATAGACTTAGACTTAGACTTAGACTTAGACTGAACTTTATTGATCCCTTGGGAAGACTCCCTCAGGAAATTAAGGTTACCAGAAGATACTGGAGAGGCAGCCGTCTACACAGCGCCAGAATCAAATCTTCAGAACCAAAAGAATACAGAATACATTGGGAAAGCGGTTCTTAAGCTGTAAGCTATAATCAGCGATATTAAAACAATAAAAGGCTTGCGATATTTCAGTTGATTTTTAATGAATCCAGAATGTATGACATTTCATGATTTTTAATTGCATTACAGAAAATAAAGAACTTTATCACAATATTCTAATTTTCTGAGACAGTCCTGTACTTTTACATAGTGTAATAGGTAGTTACAGGTTTGAGGTTGTATTTAATTGTTCATCTCTTTAATTAGAACTATTGTTGCATGACTAATGTATTGTTTATGTCTCACTGAATTTTGTGATATAATCAGCTTTCATGATTTGTAAATCAATTCATATGATGCATGAGGCCAGTTTCACATTTTTTAAAAGGCTTTTGTGATCATTTTTCTGCCAAGTTATGCCTGTGATATCTTCAAATACTCAAGGAGTTTGATTTGAATCCATACCTATGTATTGAGTTCATGTTTTGGGGTTTCAGGTCTAACTCATATCATCACTATGGATCTTCACCAGAAGGAAATACAAGGCTTCTTCAGTTTCCCTGTTGACAACCTTAGAGCTTCTCCTTTCCTCATCCAGTACATCCAGGAGGAGGTTAGGCTCCTTTACACTGTAAATTCAAAAATGTTTTTTGTGTTTGTCAAACAGAGACACTGTTGCAAAGATTACAATGATGAAATATAAGTAATATTTCTCCTTAGATCCCAGACTACAGGAATGCCATAATTGTGGCAAAATCTCCTTCAGCTGCTAAGAGGTAACTACAGGTAGAAATCTGAGACACTCAGTGCTTGAAAATGGTTTAGCCCTGGCCACCTCTGCCAGTTGAATTTCACTCAGTATTCTGCGTAGCCATAGATGTACTATTCAGTGATGTACCTATTGTCCTCATATGACTGTTGACCTGCAATTAGGTACAATAATGTTCAGAAAGCTTTCCAGAAAGAAATTATTTTTATTTAACTTTTATCATTAAATTAATTAATCGTTCAACCATATGTGGGAGGACACGCCAAGCCTTAGTTAATGTTTTCAAACATTAATGGTTTAAAATCCACATAACATCCTTTAATGTGGGCTGATTGTGTTTCTCTCTTCTGTCTTGGATAACCTTTTTCTACTCTCTGTGGCACAGTTTCTTTGACACCTGTATGTTTGTCTGTCTCAGAGCTCAATCCTATGCTGAGAGGCTCCGACTTGGACTGGCAGTGATGCATGGGGATGCCCACCATTCAGAATCAGACATGGCAGACGGCCGACATTCCCCCCCTTTGTCCCGAGCCACCACAGGACACCCTGGTCTGGAGCTTCCATGTAAGACAAAGTATTTAAGACTCGATTTTTCAATGAAAATGAATCATTTATAGGATTCATTCTATTTCCTCTTTTTATCTTATACTAGCTAAGTCTGTGTATTTCAGTAGATATTTTGTGCTTGTGTCTTTATTTTTTAGAATTTTTGGAAATACATAGATGTTGAGGTTGGAGTAATGATCGCTCAAACATTCAGAGATATCAACATGTTTCATGTCAGACCAGCTTCAGGTGTTTTCGTAGTCATTTTTTAAATGCTGCAGGCAGTTTCTGACATTTATCAAGCTTCTTCAGATGTATATTGCTTCTCATATCATCCTCATTTCCGTCTCTGTCACTCTTATCTTTCTTTTTCGGCAGGCACTAGGTAATATGGCAGTCTACTTGATTGTTCCACTGTTCTTATATCAGTAACTTGAAGTATATATTTGTGGTTCAGAAAGGTTTTTACTTCTCAAACCAGCTTTTTTCAGATTTTAAACCCAAGCCAGAAACGGAATACTTTCAATCTTTGTGTGTCTACTTATGTCTTTACTTGTTTTCTACCATCATTTTTTTCCCAGTAACCAGCAGACATGTCCCACTCCCAGGGATAGAGCTCCCAAGTTTAACTATAGTACTTCCATCATTTGATTTTGAAAATGATTTGATTAGGGCAGAACTTGTGTTTTAATACTTCACTGCATGGACTGACAGTGAGTTACCGAGGGCTTCCACCTTACGTCTGGGCATGTGAAGTTCCCTAGGAGGTGCTGATTATATATGGGCTATTTCAAGGCATAAATAAATAAAGCCAAATAAACTTTCATAGACAGTCTTTTGTTGAATCTGAGATACAAGAATTATTCATTTGTAATTGCTTCAGAATGAATGATTAATCCTTCATGTGTTTTGGAGAAGTATAGCGATTACACCCTTCATTGTGTAATGTTTAACTAAACGCTTAAATTAATTATTGAACTCTCCATTTCAAAAAGTATACCACATAACACAGAACAAAAAACTGCGGAACAGTATTTTACTATGCTGTCATCATAGCTGTGCTTCGGTAAATCACTCACTGATTCAATCTAACTGCTGTACAAGGGATGGTGAAATGCAGAAACGTTTACTAGCTCTGGCCATAATATGCAACAGTAAAATCTCATTTTACAGTCGTATTTTCTCATTCTCTCTTCATGTCATATTCATGCAATATTCCAGCTGGTTTAACTGCCTTCTGAGAGACATGTTTAAGTTGAGTTTTTCAAACCTGTCTAACTTAAAAAAAAAAAAAGAAAGTTACCAGCCAGTAGTTATTCAAGAATGTCAAGTTATTAGTTATTCAAGAATGTCAACCAGCCTTGAGCCTCTCACACAGAGTAAATATTATTTGCATCCATCAACCCATTTTTGTCTCCTTGGTTGAAATTGGGTCTTATTGCAACAAGTTGAGGAGGGAAAGCCTGGCATCCTTTTCCCCAGTCACACTCCCCAGCTCCTCCTGGGGGATCCTAAATCATTCATGGCCCAGACGGTGTATGTAATCCCTCCATCTTGTCATGGGGCAACTCCCATTTGTGAACCCTCACCACCAGTTAAGTTGGCAAATATTATACCAAATCTTTTTTCTTTTTTTGGAGGGGCAAAATTAATTACTCAAAAAATCCTGTTGCACTTGTGTAGCCAGTACTATGTTTTATTAGAACTGTATCAGCAATACCAGCAAAATGTCCCTACAGCAATATGGAACCAGTAGGTAGGCAGAGGGAAATATTTTAAGGCCTATTTATTTTCAGCTCAATACTCTGCATGTGAAACATGTAGTAGTCCTTATCTTAAAGACGTTTAGCTTCTCCTTAATGCGCAAACGTGTTTGCTGACTTTTATTGTGTGTGTCTTAAAGACAACTCTCACGCAAGACAAAATGAGGAAAAACAAGTCAACAGCACACCAAGCTTTGCTGTTGATATGTTTAACTGATAAGCACCTTTCGATCTTTGTGGCTGGATGTTCATGGTGATTTTTGGAAGCCCTCAGTCTCGCATATTTGTAAGAATCAAGATTATGAGAACTCAAGAACCTACTTATTAAGGTTTCAGAGGAAACACATTAGTTGTATATATTTTTTAAAATTCCCCCACTCATTAAATAGTTCAGACTTGGTATTCAAATGATAATATCCTATCAAACTACCTATCCTATAGTCACTAATATGCGTGACAAAATCATGCCAAAATCTTGCCATGGACTAAGATACACATACTTTTATTTCTTCCAACACCGCATTGTTTAGTTCAAATTACTTGTTTTTAGTTGGGATCACAAATAGTCCGTGGGCCAGAATCTGTACGACGTCTCCTTAAGCAATTCCGTTTGAACTTTTAGGGGGCAACTTTCTTTCACTTGGATAAGTTGCTAGAGACTACAGTGATCTTAAAACGCCAATGTGCCCACCCTTTCACTTGCACATTAATAAATTATAGTCGATTAAAAATATAATTTGTTCCGCCGTAATCTAAGAAATCGCGAGATTCGAGTTTTGCTTATCAGCCAATCAGATGGCTGAATCTCAGCGCGAGCGCTCGGTTATTTAAATATGGCAGCGCCCGTGAAATATTTTTTGCATTTGTTTCAAGACCAAGAACGTCCAATTATTTATTGTTGTGGTGCCAGTTGGTGGCGATTTATTGGAAGTTGCAAGTCCTGGATAGACCTGGATGGCAGGAAGAAAGAAATAGCCGAGACTTTCTCTCAGTACACAGTTGAGTCGCCGAGACCCGCTGAGCTGGGGAACCATAGGAAGTGCTGCTCGAAGTACACGGACAAAACAAAAATTGGGAGAGCACGTAAACGTGTTGTACGCGAGCGAACCCAAAGCACTCTTTACTGTGATCACGAAAGAAGCTGATACCAGACCTCTACTTCATGCAAAGCATGTTTATTTGGAATATAAAGATATTGTTATTTTGAGCCCAGACACTGATGTCATGGTCTTGGCTTTGGGTTGTGTGCATTGTTTTGAGAGTACTATCTATTTTAAGACAGGGACTGGCAACAAAACTCGTATTGTTAATATTTCTCATCTAGCAAGTCTTCATGGTCGAAGGAAAGGTTGAGCTTTTGTTGGTCTTCATGCTTTTACTGGATGTGACACGTTAAGTGCCTTTTAAAGGGAAAGGAAAAGTTAAAGCCTTAAGGCTAATGCTTGAATCAGAGCCAGCTGTTAATTGCTTTCAAATTCTTGGGAAAAATTGGGATGTTGATAATAAATTGTTCATTCAGCTTGAAGAATTTGTCTGTCACTTGTACGGACAGAAAAACTGGGTTAATGATGCCAGGTTTAAAATGTTCTCTTCTCTGTAAATCAGATAAATCTTTTCCACCAAATGAGGATTGTCTTTGACAACATTCTAAGCGTGCTCCATACCACCTAGCAATTTATAGAAGGTGTTTCGACCAGTTTAATAACGCCCCTAACCCAGAAGGCCATGGCTGGTCCTTTGAAGATGGAGTGCTCTCCTATTGTTGGATGGTAAATCCACCAGCTCCATCTGATGTCACGATGGACATGTCTTTCAAGTGCAAGACAAATGCATGTGCTACACAAATCTGTCCATGCAAGAGGGGTCATTTGCCATGTGGTGACCGCTGCCAATGTGTCAACTGTGCAAACTGTCCTGCTATGATTGAAAATCAGAATGATGTGGAAGGGATATACTCAAATGATAATGAGGACTTGGATGACTCAGATGATGAGTTGTAATGTTTTTCATATATGTTGTAAGTTTTTTTATGAAAATATAAAAGATATAAATATGAGAGGTCTGGATTTAAATAATATGATGTATATATGATATGTTTGGATTTAAATAGTATGATGTCGCGAGGAAAGGTTAAGATAGAAATAATATAACTGTAAATATGAGAGGTTCAGATTTTTATATTGGACATAGATATGGATCCTTAGTTTTTATTGACAATGAAAATTAAATATTATTCAATTTTTTATACCAAGGTTTACTTGTGATAGTAGTTGTTTTTCTCTCATTAAGTTAATAAATTAAATATGATGGAAAGTGAAATCTCAGTTTTTCAATGATTAAATTAGTAAGAAATTATTTGGACCAAAAACAAGGTTTTTGCATATTAAATTATTGTCTTTTGTCTTTTTTGCTATGGCTGTATAAAGTGGAAAATATATAGTATTCAGGTTCAGTGGCCCTCTGGCAGCGAAAATCGAAACTAAAGGTCTAAATTGCATTCCCATGTTGATTCCATCAGTATTTGCATAAAATAAACTTTTCTAATGATCAACCTTAATGATTTTAAAGTATTTTTGGTAAAGATCACTTGGTTAAAACCAAAAATATGGAGATTTTCTTAGTTTTAGCCACCTATAGGCCAGATGTGGAACTACCGAAATTTTAATTGGCCGTAATTAATTAATGTGCGAGTGAAAACGCGGGAACATTGGCTTTTTGAGATCACTGAAGTCCAAAGTATCTAATTAAACTGGAAGAAAGTTGCCCCCAAAAAGTTCAAACGGAAAGTCATCGTACAGATTCTGGCCCACGGCCTAAAATGGCTCCCAACCAAATATCCCTGATCAATTAAGAAAATAGATTGGTTATAGAGACCTTAAAAGTAAGTATTTAATAATAATAAAAAATCAAGAATTCCTTGAAATCCCATCTGAATGACAAATCAGTTGTTGGCTTTTTGGGTTGAAGCATGATTCTTGCATGATGTTCCAACCAAATTTTCTCTCAACAAATCTTTATTCCCCTTCTTTATTATAATTAGGTCACTCCTGATTGCTGTTAAAGGAGAGGCAGCAGTTGTTTCACTTAAGATAATATTGTTTTATCTCTGTCAGTGATGATGGCCAAGGAGAAACCACCTATAACTGTTGTTGGAGATGTTGGAGGCAGGATCGCCATCATTGTTGTAAGAACCTTTATATGAGTATTAGCAATTTGAAGGCGTTTCTATAAGAAATGCAGCATGAGAAATGGCTTCATAAAGGTCATATGACATGTCTATCACATTTTGTCACAGTAAGATATTTAAGGAATTTATTTGAGGTTTTGATGTTGTGTCCAAGTTTCTTGAGAATTGTTTTATGTTGTTTAAAATAAATATTTCCCCCTTTTTCCCCAAAACTTATGCCCTTTTCATCAGGATGACATCATAGATGATGTGGAGGATTTTGTTGCAGCAGCAGAAATTCTGAAGGAAAGGGGAGCCTACAAGATCTACATTATGGCTACACATGGTTTATTGTCTGCAGAGGCACCGAGATTAATAGAGGAGTCTGCAATTGATGAGGTAAAATCCTCATCTGCACATCAAAAAGGCAACTGGAGCTTGTTTGATTTAATACAATTACATTCATGTGCCATATAAGCCATGTGTGAACATCATATACTTCCCATTGGGAAAATAATCTGTTCAACAAAGAATACAATTCCTGACATGATTTTTCTTAATATGACAAATGTTTGTATAAATAATTATGTTCATGTTCAGCAGTTGGACATTGTTACATGGAAACAAAAAAATAGAAATGTTATAAGTATAAACTGAATGACAGATTTCTTGATTTGTAATTTTCTTATTCCCCAGTCTCTATTGCTTGCTAATTAATCACTAAGTCTTCATCAATCAAAACAGATTACTTAAGATATGTGTGTTCAAATGTTTCAAAATGCAAATTCTTAAATATGAAATTATTTTATTTTCAGAATCAGAATTCAGATTATTTTCAGAATCATTATTCTTAGGCACCACATAATAAAAACACATTACCTAAACCATATGTGTTCAAATGTATAAAACTTATGAAATATTACATTACATTTTTAAACATTTTTTATTGATCTATTATTTATTTCCCACTCTTCATGAAAACAAAGACATTTGAAACAATTATTGTTCCCTTTGTTCTGTGCTTCCAGGTTGTGGTGACAAACACTGTTCCTCATGAGGTGCAGAAGCTTCAGTGTCCAAAAATCAAAACGGTGGATGTCAGTATGATCCTCGCTGAGGCTATTCGGCGCATTCACAATGGAGAGTCCATGGCTTATCTGTTCCGTAACATTGCTGTGGATGACTGAGGCGACAAGCTTACAATTACATCACAACACATAAAAAGGATAAATACCTTGTAGCTGGTTAACCTGATGATGCAGGTTTAACCAGTTTAAACCAGAAGTTAAATGTAATCTGTCACATATGAAACAAAACCTTGTTTATTATTGACACTTTGAAAATGTATGATTTGTCTCACAATTTCTCTATATGCTGCAGAATATATCAAATAAAGCTTTTGTTTTCTTGGGTGAAGATAGTGAAGTATAAATATAGGTTTTACAGTAGAGTTTACAAGTGGAACATGATTTCAGGAACTAGAAAAGCTTCTGTTCAGCGGGTTCACACCTGAACCTAAACTTTCAGTAAGGCTTTCGGTCACCACTCGTTATCTTTTTAAGCGTTTACAATAACCAAACACTTTATTAAAACTTTTAACTCCCATTACGTGAATATATTGTCATCAGAGCTGAATCTAGTGTCAGCGATATGCTCTTGAGAAAGTTTTTACTTTGAGGTTGAAGTATCCAGCAGCTTGACAAGAAAAAGCTAGAAGTGTTAAACGGGACTATTAATATAATACTTGATATATCAAATTGTGTTTAAGTTTAAACCAAAAACACAAGGTCAAAAACCTTCATGTGCCAACCAGCATTTCAATTGTGTAATTTGTATATAAAAAATGTTGACCACTCAGAAAATCTTTCCCCTTATTATTACAGTTTATTCTCACGGTCACTTTTTCAAGTATATTATACACATTGGTACAGTATCCCAAGTAACTCAGGTTGAATGTAGACAGAACAAATTTGCAAAGCAAAAAAGAAAAGTCAAATCTGCACTGTAGCTTTTTGAATTACCTGAATAATGTTTTCATGGCCAACGCACTTATTTAATAAAAAATGAGGCAGTGTTTCTGTCCAGGACCCTGAACTTGTTCTAAACGCCTCAGAGTCATTCTAATCTGCTGAGGAGCTTTGACCAAGTCCAGTGTCACAGACATCAGAAAATATTTGTCAAGATTTATATGATTGGCCTCCATCACTGCAGCTAAAATCTCCAATATAGTCAATACATTTACAAAAGTGTTGCCTGGAAGATTGTTTCTCTCAAATATATGATAATATATAATAAATAACATAAATACATTCATAAGATGTCCACACACCTGCGTTGCTGCAAAGCTGTCAGGCATCCTGTCCCTCACTATTAGGCAAACGCACAGTGCGGAAGAAGGTTAAAATATGTACTGAAAGAGGAACTGCCCACAAACGTTTAGCCAGCTACTTCCTCAAATTAAAACAGGAAACTTTGCAGTCTAAACTGATGGAGTGGAGGGGCACTTGCACCTGAGCTTTATAACTGTCTCTGTAAATGTTGCATACAGAGGAACCAGGCAAAACTATTTCAGGAACTGCATACTGATGTTCTTTGTAATCTTGCTGAACTGGAGAACAGCTGGATTGTTTACCATTCAAATATTGTGGTTATCAGCTTTGGCTGCTGGCCTCTGTTTTCAGAAGAATCTTACACTTGCTCTCTCATCTAAAGATACTTTAGAGCAGCAAATGTACAAAGAAAAGTACACGCTTTCAGTCATCTCTATGACATCCTTCACTGATCTGCTATAAGTACCTTTTACTGGTAGAAAAATTATCAGTAATAATCTGGCAAATCACTAAAGGCACAGGTTCTGTTTTTTTGCTCAGGAGAATTGAAAAGTTTTACAAACAAGGCTTTTCTCAGATATTTCTAATCCAAAGAGAACTGTGACTTTGCAAAATAGATCCCCTTCCAATAAAGGATGTTAAGACTTTAATGTGAAAGCTTTGTGGAGGAACAAAACAAGCCAGCAAGTTGTACAGACGTGATTCATTGCCAGTTGCAATAAATGTAATGTCAGTTTTTTCCCAAGAGAGGGCGCCAAAGATATAAATACAGTATATACTGTATATATATATATATATATATATATGTATATACACACACACACACATAGGAAAGAGAGAGATTTTCATTCTGTTTTGGGGCCATATTTTTCTGAATAAAAGGGTGCATAGTCTTTATATCTATACTGTGCAACAGATTTCCTACACCCATCGGATTTAAAGAAATATTATTCTTTAATAGGCTAACAAGGACTCAGAAATTATTAGAATAGACTCGAATTGTTCAATTTTGTGTGCAGCACTGTCCTTTTCAGCAATTTCTTGGCTAATCTCTGTTCCTTTATCACTATGTGATAATCCATTACTGCACTGATGCAATTTAGGGTAATTACTGATCAATTTATTATTTTTACCAACCAGCAACTCTTAACATGGACAAAAACCTTTTTTTAAAGAAATGTTTTATTACACAAATACAGATATGTGAAAAAGTGACGTTATAACAGATTGTTTTTAAAAAGCAACAGCATGACATTTAATAAAACATTTTTTAAAACTTTACATTCATAGCACGTCAGCAATTTTATCAACTTAAAATTAATATCATGATCAATAAAAAAACGTGTGCTACACGTGAATCGCTAAATGTAAAAAACGTCGAGAGAAAAGCATTCAACACATTTGACAAGTACCATTGATAAAGCTTAGATAGAGTGAAAAAATACTTTAAATTCAAAAGTAAAAAATGTGTTTTAAAAACAAAAACATTTCACGAAATACATTATACCACAAAGCTTGACATTAGGCATCTGAGCATTAAATCTATTGTTTTTCTCCATTTAATTCTCATAGATCAGGTGTTAGTCTTTTTTTCATGTCTTTTTATACATAGTCTTCGTCGTGAAATATAAAAATGTCTTTGTTGTTTCTGGGTCACACACTTAAGTTTCCTTTTCCCCTTACCCCAATTATGATAGAATACAACTGTTTGTCTTGTTCATGGGTGGCCGGAAATGTGTATCTTTTGGAAAGGTTTCCCTGCGTCTGCGTAGTGCCGGGCTGAGTCGACTGGGCAGGTTAACCTGCCTCAGGAGCTCCGTGTACAACTCCACGACGTTGACATTCTCCTTTGCAGAAGCTTCCAGGTACCTGTTGTTCCAGTCCATCTCCACAGTCGCGAGCACATCCTCGGTAGACACCTGGCGCTCTTTGTCTCGGTCCACCTTGTTCCCCACTACCACAATCGGTGCATGCTTGTCCTCCTTTATCTCCAGAATCTCATCTCGGAGGCGTTTGACAGCATTCAGCGACTCGGGGTTATCCACGGCGTACACCAGTGCAAAGGCATCACTGTTTTGGATGGAGAGCTTTCGCATGGCAGGGAATGAGTAGCTGCCGCTGGTGTCCAAGATCTCCACGGTCATTTTTACCCCACCAATGTAATGCTCCTTGCTATGCAGCTCCTCCACTGTGCGTCTGTGTTTTGGCTCAAAGGTACCTTGGAGGAAGCGTCGGATCAGAGCAGTCTTGCCTACACCTGCAGCTCCCAAAAATACAATACGCACCTGTGTTTTCTCTTTCACCTCAAGAGACATGTTTGCGTTTTTTGGGGAAGCCAAAATGGATAAAAGTGTGCAAAAATGATTTCAAGTATAGCAGTTACAGCTACAATATCAACGCATTTCACTGGCCATGTTTTTCAAAGGTTTTCCATTAAAATTCCCAGATGAATAATTAGAATCTTCTTCATGAACTCTACCTTCTCCACCTGACAGTTTTTCCAAGCTGCCGTTTACTCACACAGCTGCTAAACTTTCTTTATAAGATGCTGTCAGTTTTTTTTTTTTTCTTTTTTAATCCTTTCTGTGTTTGTAAGTGTATGGAGAGAGACCGCCCAACCAAAAGAGACTGGTCTGCGGAAGTCATTCAGGCACCCAATGATGGAAGAGATGCAAATGAGCGCTAGAATTTCATAAAGAGAGTGGGTTATCTAACAAGAGCGGAAAAATACAGGTTTTGCAACAGTTATTTCAGATTTGTTTCACACTACCTCCAAGGACAAACGTTATTCCAATAAGTTTGAATTGTATACGACGACACATTAATGCAAAAAGTATGGCTGCTTGCAAGTACTCCACTGGAAAATCACTGTAGAAAAGAGAAAATACATTTCTAAGAAACCTAATTAGGGTTACAGTTACAACTCTTTCTGCAACAATTACCTTATTAGCAATGGGGAATCTGATGTTTACAGCAACGTGACACAAATGATCACAATCAATACAAATGATTATTTAATAATAGCCTTATCAAAAAATAGCTCCTTACTATCGAGACTAAAGAGATGATGTACACCATAGCCTGTGTATTACACAAACATCCATCCATTATCGTTACCGCTTATTCCCTGATGGGGTCGCAGGGATACCTGGAGCCTATCCCAGTGGTCAATAGGCGAGATGCGGGGTATACCCTGGACAGTCTGCAAGTCCATCGCAGGGCAACACACAAGACATACAAGGACAAACAATCACGCACAGTTACTCCTAAGGGCAATTTAGAATGCCCAATTAACCTAACATGCAGGTTTTTGGACTGTGGGAGGAAGCTGGAGAACCCGGAGAGAACCCACGCACACATGGGGAAAACATGCAAACTCCACACAAAAAGGTCCTCTGTCCCCCGGGACTTGAACCCAGAACCCTCTGATGACGGTGCTAACCACCACACCACCGTGCCACCCATCACACAAACACCCAAAGATAAATCAGACATACACCATACACACTTATCTAATTTAATCTAATTTTACTTATATAGGCCACATCACAACAAATGCCATCGCTTGATACTTTAAAGATTCAATCTATTTAAAGCCAATAATAAAGTAATAGAATTGTAATCAAAATTATCTTTACTTATATGTTTGAGAAGAACACTGGCTACAGCATTCTGGATAAGCATTTTGGACAGCCCGACAACAAAAAGACACTCAAAATCTGATAGACTGTACAATAATTGAGTGATATTAGTGGAGAAGATTGCACAAATCATTTTCCGAATGTCCGAAGTTCGTGAAATCAACAATCCAGAAGTTTATAAATATCAACTAATCCTGACTACGGTACTGAAAAGTAAAGAAACCTTGGATTATTCTCTCAACCAGGTGTACTAGTTTTACAGTGTTTTCTTATGTCATGAAACTATTTTTCTAGACTAACTGAGACTCTTGTAAATTAGATGGACATCATTCTTTTATGCTGTCTTGTTGTCTGCCTAAAAGTACAAATTGGTTGATTAGATTTATTACTGATTATATTCCACAGGGGCAACAATGACCAATGTTGTACACATTATCATTGTAGTCAACAATACATTTAAATTCTGCGAGACTAGATTTAAGTATCCATCCTATGCTGTTTTGCACATGGTAGTAAGGAAAATGATCATGAGATCAATTCTTTAAATCTTTTTACAATATTCCCTGATACATGATTACTATGAATACACCTAATCTCAGTTGTGTAGAAAAACTGACAGTCAGAGATGAGTCAAAACGATTTTGGGTCTGGAAAGGATTAGCAACCATGATTTGAAAAAATCTGTCATTCCTCCTCTGCACGTGGTTTGAGGGGGAAAAAGTCCATCAGCACATTCATTTAGCAAATGAAACTAAAATGAATTGATTCTAACATGATGCTCTTGCTACTGTCTTCTACTTATGTTAAGCAAAATGTGTATGATGATCACTAATCAAGTCATTCACTAACAAAGATGTTGATTACACCACATTTGACGTATGTTCTGTGCATTTTAGCTATGTTATTTGGGTTTGTTAGTGTGTCTCAGGTATAGAGCAATATATATCAATACCTGAAATGCTGCCCAAGTGCACACCAGGTCATTGTATTGAGTTTTTCTTGTGTTTCCTGTGCCATAGTTCTCTTGAGCTTCCTGTGTTTTGTTCCTGTGGTTTATTTTAGTTAATTCCTGTCTGACAGATCCTTACTTTCTCTACACTTATTATGTTTGCCATTCGCTTCCTTTAAAGTTTGTCCTTGTTGTTGTGCCTTGCCCTTCCAGGATTTTGTTTTTTGTTTCCATCAGGCATAATTTTAGCTTTGTAATCCAGCATTGCCTTGCTTTTTGTTGGTTTCATAATAAACCTTAGATCTCTTGAAGCTCCTGAGTTCCCTTTTTTCTCTAGCCCTGCATCTAGATACTCACTCCCAGGCGCAACCATAAAACATTAATGGTTCAGTTATATGCATTTTCTATGTTTTTCATTCAAGTATATCTATAGAGCTTTTTAAAAAATGTACACACATGAAGATCCCTTAATACAATTAAGGGATTGGCTTATTACAAAATTGATTTAAAAAAAACAAGTAAAATAAAAGAAAAAAAAGAGAGAAACAAAACCAAAAAGTCTAGAGTGGTTGTCAAAACGACATTTAAGAGATCATTTCGGGTCAAAATGCAGAGATAATTGTTTTACATGGGAAATAAATGGACGCCATGTCATATCAAACTCAGTGACTGATCCATTCGTTTTTTACATTTCTAAGAAAAACACAACATCACATATTCATCTGCCAAACGAAGAGGGGCAACACAGGAGGTCACCGACCATGGACGAGGAACCATTGGGAATGGGGAGATGGTTAGGGGCTTTATAAAGCTTGGATGAAGTTGCGAGAAATTAGCTGGAAAGCCACTAACCTTCTTAGATTTCATGTGAATCAGGGGACAAATGACAGGTTCCTTAGTAGTGCGGTAAACACCTTTGGCAGAGGTCGGGCCATCAACTGATGGAATATCAAAGACAAGTTGTACCCTGTTGCCAAGCAATTACATTTCGTTGTCAAATTCAATGTGCACAATGACAATAACTGAAGTCTAAGTCTAGCTGTTTTTCATTAAAAACAGTTTAATGTTCTATCCAAATGCAATGACAGTCCTGCCATGTAAAGAAACCATGTGAGAAGATAATACAGAGACGGGGCTGTCTTCTCTGAAATTTATTTTAATTCACTACTTCATTTTTGTCAGCCTTCATGAAAAAAGCAGTGGTCATCAGATAAATATTGTTTCATTTGTCCCTTACCTTTAAAATTTTGCTGCTTCATTGTATTCAGATTTTATGAAAAAAGCAGTTTTCATCCGACAAATCTGGCTATGTTTGTCCTTTATCTTTCAATTGTGTTGCTAAGTAGCATTATTTATAGCTAGTTTAAATAATGTCATACTTATTTCTGCATGATTATTAATTCTTTGTTTTTCATATACTTTCTCATCTTTTATTTCTTTGCAGAGCTGAACAAAGGCATATATAGAAAATCAGACTGAGGGAAATATGGATGTTAGTTGTAGTTTTAAATTATTTTGTTTATTTGATTTAATAAGTATACAATACCTGCCTATAATGTGATTGATATACATTTATAACAACAAATTGATATAACAAATAATCAAAAAGAATAAAAAACAGTCAAGTCAGAGAGCAGCCTTGTCTACATCAGCTCTCAGGGAAATTATTCTTAAACCGACTTCCATTTGCCATAAAGTTGGGTATCAGGCTATCGCTGCTTCAAATAGATAACTGGTAATTGTTCATTATCTGTCTTTTATCTTCCCTTCCCCCTGTTCCTATCTTTTTCTTATTTCTATTCTATGCATCCATCATCCATCACCGGCTTCTGCCAGTCAGCTTCTTCTGTTTTTCCCCTCTCGCTGGGAATAGGAATGGGATGTCTGACTGTGGTCACTCACCTGTACAGCAACCACCTGGCTGTCAAAGCGATAATGTAAACCTCCCTGAGAGGAGATAACAGTCAACCAGAATAATTTGTCAGATGCGCAGACACACACAAATTAAGTCAATGCACACAGTGAAAAACCTTTCAGTTGCCATAGGAACATGACCCAAAGCCCCAAATAGAGTCATATAACAGTGAATTGACCAAACACCTCTTCATCTGTACTTTGCCGAGGCGCTCACAGAACAACACTTCAAACACAGAGGTGATGTAACAAAGCAGAAGGATTCCTGACAAAAACGATAACTTGCTTCATCAGTGACAGAAACCCAGAAAGGTCTCAACACCAGTGATCTTTATGATGTTGTATGGGTAACAAAAAATATAAGTAAAGTACTGAAAATTAAATCTAAGTTGATTACTAATTGCTATTACTAATTTGCTTGGGTGAAATTACAGGGGACCCTATTTATTATCACCATGGATGTGGCTTGAAATAAAGTGGTTTTCCACATTAGATCAGTTATGTTTGTATCTTTTACCACCTTGTGGTTGCAATACTAAGATAACTCTTATTATCTTCAAAGAAAATGAGAATAAAGTTGTAGTATTATGACAACAAAGTCGTAATATTATAAGAATAAACTAATCAATTTATTTTATTTTAACTCTCACAAGAAAAAGAAGTCTTCTTCCCATTGTCTTAAAATAAGGAATGCTGAGTATATTGTGAAGTTATACTTTTGTATCTTTTTCACAAATATAAGGAAATGTGTCTTCTTTTGGTACATCAGTATGAAAAAACAATCTTTTGGAACTTTGGATAAAATTGTGCCAATGTTTCTATTTAGAAAGAAAGAACCAGATTTGGAAGAAATTAGGGCAAAAGATCTGATCCTGGGAGTGGCAATTAGAAATGGCATGCAGCTGACACTTCAGTTGCCAGAGGGTGCTAGACAAGTTACATAATCATAGTATATGCTGCTAAGCAGCAGCACACTTTAGTGGGGAGCCAATACTAATTTAGCAAACAGGTTATCATTATAGTCATGAGCTACTACTTCAACTATCACCAGCGCCTTGGCATCCTATTGTAGCTGCCTCTGCAATGTAAGAGCATGAGCATGTCAAGCTGGTCACATCATATCTTGATAACAGCTTTTATTTATTAAATCTTTTTTTGTAATATTATGACATTATTTTCAATATATTCAATTTCATAATGTGACAACTTTATCTTCACAAATGTTATTCTATTTGTAGTTTTTTTATAAACATATTTGTACGGTAGATACTTTGAAGTTAATTCAGGGTTTTTCTTTAAGTTTGTTTTGTTTTGATTTCAAGGATTATGTCTTACCATTGACAATGCCTGGTAAGAATTCAAAAGTATTAAACTCCCTGTGGAGGGGGCGTTGCGCTCAGCTGCAGGGGGGAGGCGTGGAGGAGGCTCAGGTGAGCAGTGCCAGGGGAGATGATTAGGCACACCTGGAACCGGTTGGCTAATCACTCTCCCCTCTGTAAAGAGTAGCGTGCTGGACCTGGGGAGGGCTGGTTTTGGACAGAGCTAGAGCAGGAGACAAGCCACCAGCCAGCAGCCAGGAAGGAACCCAACGGGCAATAAGCTGGAATCCACAACGAGCCCAAGCCGGGCGGGCGTGAGTGTGTGTGCTTGTGTGCGAGAGTGTGTGTGCGGGTGGCACACACGCTCCGGAAATAAACCGTCAACCCAAACAAACCTCTGGTCTGGAACTCTGTCGGGCACCCACGGTGGCACGACTGCCACACTCCCCTTACTCAGATTATGCGTTAGATTTTCTTTGTATCTTTGTCCTATCTGAGGTAAAATATGTACTTGAAATACAGAAGAATGCACCTTAATGTACCTTTACGGTGCAGTCAGGACTTAATATCAAATTCTAGAACTATAATGCACCTTACGGTGATACTTGGAAACATCATCAGTGATTGACCCGGAGTCACGGGGAGTTTCGGGTCTTTAATAATCAGACAGCCTCACCCGGGCGACCCAGCCTGGGGCAATAACTCCCCGGCTTATGTCCAAATAGCGCACCACGGATCCCCCCTACGGATCCACAGCCACTGCTAGGCCTTTTCTGCGGCCTCAAGAATGTTCTTGGTGGCTTCCCTCAATTGCAGTCCTCTAACACCAAGGAGTTTGAACACTCTCTGGAGTGAATGTCCTGTGAAAATAAAATAGGTACGTCTTCCTCTTTAAGCAGAGTCATATAAATTGAACTTTATTCATTCAAATTTATAATAAACTTATATGCCATGTAATTAAATGAAAAGATCACATTATAGCATCACAAGGATATAAAATAAGCACCAAAAAAGAAATGTCTAATAGATTAATGTAAATTTTCATGAATGCTACAATTTTTCCCGACGTGAATCATTTACCACTGTCATTGAAAACCATAAATCTCATCACCAAAAATTCCTGAAATTTCAAATGATTTCATCGATATTCTATTCTTTGACATCCGACACAAAAAAAAAATCAAACTTAAGATGATGAAACACAACAGTGTAATTATTCCAACAAAAAAAAGGTTAAAACTACATTTTCTTAAGTTAGCATGGTTATTTGGCTCTTGTAAATCATTGATCAGTGTAAGCAGTATAAGTTAAATGTAATCATTTCAGTAGCAAAGAGGAACTCTTTGAGAAAGCTCTGATGTTGGGATGAGGAAGCTCTGAGATGTAAAGAAGGCAGGACCTTTCCATTGAAGATGGCTTTTACCCCTGGCAGTAACCCACAAGAGCTTGATCAGTAAAAGATGGACATCATACTATACATTTTCTATACCTGCAAAGTCCAAATAGAGTCTTGAGTGTGGTAGAGCCAATAGTTGTTACTAGCCATGAAGCAGGGTACAAACTTGACAGATTGTCAGTCTGTCACAAGGTGAAAATATTCATATTTGTCTTGTGCTCACAATGACTGCATGTTGGATTTGAATAAAAGGTATGTGAATATTATTATGTCAGCTAATTACAAATGTTCAACTTAAATATAACCATTCAAATGTCTTTCAAGTTGCTAAATGTAGAATGCTTCTTGTATTTTTCGCCCTATGAGAATAATCCAAAGTAAATGGAAAATCACAGAGCAAATAATGGCATCTCTGCCAAAGTATTATTAACGTTATAAACGATCTATGTGTGCAGCCCTGCATTGGCTTCATCCCGTATTGTCCTGCTGTGCCATTTGATGATGCATATTTTATACACTTACTTTTTGATAATGAACAAGGTTTTGCATTATGTATATATATATATATATATATATATATATATAGTGGGCAGTTGTTTCTTGTGTATTGATTATTGGAAATAGTTCACAAGAGGGCAGCAACTATCCATGGACAGAACTGTTAATAAACCTATGTTTATTGTGTTTTCTTATCTTATTTAATTTTTTTCAAACTCATAGAATTTTACTTTTCTGAAAGAAAAATGATTATGTATACATCTGCAGGTAGGTTATTTTTTGCAATAAATACTCCTCAAACATGTAGCTTAGGGATGAACCAAACAAGTCGCCAAACGGGATGTTTGCTTTATATAGAACTGTGCTTCTTGTTAGTGTTTTCCCTGCTGCTCTTAATCTGGAGCACTGTTGATTGTGTAATCAAAGAAAGATAGACAAAAAACAAATTAACAAACCAAACAAACCGGTTTTAGTACCTTACTTTTCTGATTAAAACTTATCATTCAACGTGAATATGATTTGTCAAATTCATTATTTCAGTGGAATAAAGAAAAAAATAAGAAAGACAGAAATATATTTATGTTTCCTTGTGAACAAATTTTGTAGCCTTTGCCTCCGTCATGTTCAGGTTTCTGAACCAAAGTACTTGCAATGTATCTATCAGATACAGTGCTCTTCAGGGAACAGTTGTAAGGCACAACTGAATTTCTCCAGTCCAGGCTATCATCAATGGTCAGCCAACTACGAATCGTCACCCATCCCTGTTTATCCACACTTTTTGCAGTGTTGTGCCTCACAGATCCATCAGAGAGGTTATGGAAGCTATGAAACCAGTGTACATCTCCGTCTGGGTAGACGCGATTGAAGGTGCAGCTGGGTCCGTCACTCCCTACAATGCTCTCAACTGGCCCACAACACTCTAAAGGGAAGACCACAAAAATGTGTTGAAATTAATATTGTTGAGCAAAAATGTTGGACTCTTAACCATCAAATTTTGGATGTTCTGAACTACTTTTCCTATTCAGATCTTTTATTTAAATAAATCAGTTCAATATTTAGTATATTTAAAAATATCTTATATCTTATAAACTTTCTGCAAAGTTGCAAAAAAAAATTACATTTGTGTCTAATTAGGTGCAAAAAAACAAGACATCATGCTGCGCATGTATTATGTATACAGCAAATGCTTTTCATATTTCTGTCCATTGTTTCTAGGTGTTTTGATGATCTGACAAAGGCAGGAAGGAAGAAACTTGCTACTCAGAACGCTACTCAAACACTTATTTTTAAGGGAAAGAAAAGCCTGTGGCATATATGTTAGAGTTTGTTCTAACAATTTGTTCATATTTAAATATTGATAACACTAAAAGGGAATTTTTATTTTCTATAACATCAGTTTGAAAAAATAATAAAGATTCTTTACTTAAATATAAATAAACATGGACTCTGACCTTGCAATTCCACTCTTGTATATTCATGGGGCACTCCTTGATTGGAGTGCAGTTTGCATCTGTAGGGCTTTGATATTCCGCTCTCCGGAGGCAGCACTTCTTTAAAGACAAGGGATAGACTTCCATCTGTATATTTACAATGGAAGTCACTGGGAGAGTGTCTTTTGTATGTGGTCAGTTTTTCTTCACTGTTCACTGAACACAGGGGAGTTTTGTCTTGGGACCACTCCATGTGTGTGATTAATAGTCCCCGCTGAGATGAAGATGTGTTGCAGTGCAGGGAAACCTCTTTCCCACATAATGCAGAAAGTGTGGGTTTCACCTTCAGTCTCACCAACTCTGCAGACAAAGATATGAATATACTGAGTTCAATCCCTTGAATTGTTTTTTTATTATGTTTAGCTGTATTCATAAAGGTTGACAGCTGACACACATACCTTGTGTCGTAAGGGGGAATGCAGAAAGAAGCCATAGAAAACCCAAAGCTGTGATCTCCATTGTCAGTACCTTTGCATTTTACTGAAACACAGTAATATCAATATTATACAAAAACTTGTCTTAACATTGACCATGTGGGGTTGACAATTTGATCATGACAGACACATTTCTAACAACGCTTTATGTTTGTTTTTAACATTTAAGCAAAACTGACCTGTGAAAGATTGCTGCCTCTCCCCAGCTATTCTTCTGTGCTTGAAACTCAGAGTCTCTCTGATACGTTTCCCTTGTCCGAGTTAATCATTATAGAATTACAACGCAGAATTACCAAGACGCCTGACAACTTGCCAATGCAGAGGGAGTGTACTAAAACCTAAACAACGAGGAGATGGAAAAGGAAATGTTGTGTGTCTATGCGTGTTAGAGGAAGAAAGAGAGAGAGGGAAAAAAGAGACTGAAGAGCTATTCATGAAGCAGTCACAAACTGCCACAAACGGGCAGTTGTATGATGCCTTTGATGTGTAGCCTTCTGCTGCTTAATTTGACTGATATAGATATTTCCCGTTACATCATTATAACTTTTCACCTCGTGGCCTCTGGGGAAATTTTCAATTGCACTGCATTAAGCTCAAAATAGTCACTTTTACTCGGTCAGAAACTTTATTGTGCAACAGCTATGAGCCATTTTATGGGAATTAGTTGTACCCTCTTTAGAATAGATCAATAACTTACATAGGTCAAATCGCTCTTCTTTATTTTCTTTCATCAGCCAGGACCAGGTGGGTAAAATTGAGCTGATACAAGTAGTACTAGAGACTGAGGAGCAGTAAGTAAACAGAGCCACGGCAGGAAAACATAGGAAATGGACATCGCAATAAAAATAGTAAACTAGGGAACTCAAAACCCAACCAAGAACAGACCATAAACTAAACTAAACCCTACAACAAATCATGCAATACAAAACAATGTAGCAGTTATGGGCACATAAACAAAATTTGATCTAAAAAAATCCTACAGTGGCTTTATAAAGAACTATACTATGTCATTATACTCTGTCATTTAAAAAAACAAAACAACAACAGCATATTGCTCAAGCTGTAGTTCAAAATTCTTCAAAGTCGCTAGATGTTCCAGAAAAGATTAATTACAATAGAATCCTTCTGATGGATTTTACAGCACACTCTGAGGTGTGTAATAGTTTGCTTCCCTCTTAGATAAAATCTCTTAATCAATCTTATCTTATAAGTGGATCCATAGTGTTTCACTTTAGACATTACCCTTTGGCCATTGGGTAAGTGCCAGGGTATGCCCATTGGTCATGAGGCATGGTAAAACCTGGAAAGGTTCTACAATTAGTCCTCTGGGTTAAAAAAAAAGGTGGATTGTCATACTGTCAGTTACAAAACATAGTAGTGCTTGTAAAATCACACTGATTAATTTTCTCCATTTTCAGAAAGACCCACCAAGTTTTTGCATAGAGATTAAACTGCATAAGTAGTAAAATCCCGTTTGGCACAACACTGCGTCATTGTTACTCCATATATCCCCATCCGTCAATCTAAACATACAGAGCTTTTCACTGATGAATTTGCATAAACCAATCAACTGAACATGTAAGAGAATATCTTTTAATAGAAATCTTTGCTTTCTCATAAATTCAGTTCCATGTTTTAAATATATAAATCTCCAGTAACTCCGTCCTAACTATGACAGCCACACCTTAAGCTCATTTGAACTTTGACTTTTGCTTCCTTTCATTGTCGTAGAACAACCTGTTCTTTCCGGGGAAACCTTATAAACCCTCTTTCAGTGTTCATCTACTTTCCTTCCACCGCATTTTGTATAATGTATATTCGTTTAATCTGGTAAAGTATATAGCAGACAGGAAACACGAGTCCTCATTTTACTGGTAGCCATGCTGACCTGCATCAAAATTCCTATATATATATATACAGTATATGGATGGTTGTGTAACTGGAGCATTTTGTAGCATTGTGCTTTGCCATCTGTGACCATTCGTTCCACAATAAACTACTACAAACTACACACTTTCTGACTTTCATGTCTTAAAAAGAAACTTTCTGTTTATATTTTTACTTTATAAAAACAAATAAGTAATCTATACAATATTTTAAAATCCATCTTTGTGGAAAAGTTGCTGTATCTGTTTGGCCCTACGATGGTCTGGTGAGTGGTCCAGGATGTACATCGCACCTCGCCTGTTGTTGTCATATGGTTGTCAGCTGTTGGGAATAAGCGGCATGGAAAATGGACAATGTATCTATAAGTATAAACTTGTATCGGGAATTTAGCATAATTTTTAGGTAAACTTCAAATCACTATTATTGACTTCTGTAAAAATTCAAATCCAGCCATGTTTGTAGCAAGACGGATAATATTGCAAAATCTATGCAGACCATACACAATCATTATTCTGTTCTGCAGAATTTTCAGGAGGACACATTCCATTCTATATAGATGTTATGTCTTCAGAATCCCAATGTTGTCAACAGCTTTACAGCATCACAAGTTTATGTTTAAGTAGGAGTTTATCATTCTGAAACCATCTCAAAAGAATGTTTTACCAAATCAGAAAACTAATCTGTCTCAAAACAGAAAGGCAAGTACTTGTTATAGCAAAGGATTGTATTCATATGTTTGCTTGCACTTTGCAGCTGCTGATATATTGGTATTACTAGACTTAAACATAGCCTCTATCTTGGACTCAACCCAAAGAATAGATTCTGGCTATAAGGTGTGTTTTTGTAGCATGAATAAATATACTTCAAACTAGTGAAAATGATGACCACCTCTGTGATCAACATTGCACATTGGTAAACTGAAAATGTGCTTTATGTTAATTAATATCTTGAGGATTTACTTTTTTCCGAACTGGAGTGCAATTATTTTACACCCTGCACTTAAATGCCAATATGTATTGAGTTTTAAAAGTAATGCATGTGACTATTTTTCTTTTGGTCACCTTACATCAATTAGCTACTGACCACAGAATGAAATGCAATGTTCTCTTCAAGAACAGTAAGCATTGTCAACATGTTGCAACTCATTTAATTTCAGAAATACAGGTTACTAGAATACAATGCATATAAAAGATCAATACCCCCCCTCCCCCTGGATTTTTACCCATCAGGCTTGTCCTTGGATGTGTAAAATATAAATCTTATTTACAACCTGCAGTACTATGTATGTCCACTGACTCACCACTCACTTGCTGTGGACCTTCTTTTGATACGGGAAAACTTTTATTCATATTACAATTAAATTCAATAATATTGAATAATAGCTGGCTCTTTACAAAATAGCACAGTAATATGATAGTGGGTGTGGTGACAAAGGGAAATAAACAGGATAGTGCTGGTTAATACCTCACTATTAGTTTTTTACTTTGTTATTACTAAAGGAATGAACTCGTGTATGGAGTGCATTTAACTTTTACAACAACGATAACAAAAGCAATATGGTATCTGCACCTCATTTCAGTGGTGGCTCCAGATGCATGTTTGTGCAGAAACATTCTGCGGACGGAAGGAAAGACATTTCCTTTGACCTTCGACTGTTATGGCCAGTGGACTTTGGTGTTTGGTAACCAGGAAGGTGGCATCTCGCTTGATGCTACCTCCAACTGTCCCCCTAATATTTGTTGTGCAAACTATGTGAATAATCATCAAATGTTCTGTGGTTGTTTATCCCCAACAATCCATCTGTAAATTGACAATATTTAGACATATTGGATCAGCTTTGAATCTGTGTATTTATAACGGGTAACAGTGAGGACCTGATAATTTAGCTTCACATGGGAGAAGTTTGAAAAAAGAATTCTATTGCAAAAGGGTTGGTAATTATTGGTGCTTTGAGAGCCTTTGGGTTGCTGTCTCAACTTGAGGGATGGTGAGAAGATATTGAATACAGAATCCAGAGACAGAATCAAAGCATGCAATGGTAAAAACACAGGTAGGCAGATGTCAGGTACTTAACACAGAGAGTTGATGAGAGTTAGTGGTCTAAAACAGAGCATGGGTCAATATCCAGATGTCCAGAGAGGCAGGACAAATCGGTCATAGGAGAGGCAAGAAGAATAATCCATGAAAGTGAAGTTGGTCAGCATTTGATAAACATAGCACCTGACAATTATTGCTGAATAACTACGAGAGTTTTTTGGGGGGGGTTGTTTCTTGATTTTCTATCATTTTAACGAAGCGTAATCAAACCCAATCTTTTAATCTTAACCATTTTGGCATAACATCATTTTGGGAGCACGATCTGAATTCAGGGCGCCAGACACAACTAGATTCACCGCAAACTGAACTACATGCATCAAGGTCCCTTCCCATGAAGAGAGCAAGCCAGAGATAGAAGTTCAGAGGAAACTGCTTGGAGTCATGTTATTAGCTTTCTACTCGCTTACGATCCAGTGACGGTGTGGAAATCCTGAGGATGGTAGTTGGTTCGCCAGTGGAGTGATGGAAAGGCGGTGGAGGTAGGACAGGCAGCTGATTTGTGGTTCTTACGGACCACTCACGGATGTGATCTCTACGTGTCACCTGAAAAGTCTTCCCTAAAAGTCATTGACCCAGAGCTGTTCTGACATGACAACAACAGTGACCCTGTACTCAGTGGTATCATGTCCTTCTAAAGAGTGGTGTGTTTGTGTAAGCTTGGTTGCATATGTCAGTAAAGCTGCGTCTCTGTTTCAAGAGTAACAACTCATAGTTGTCACTGCTGACTTCAACCTGTACCTAGTCACAATATGCAAACAACAGAAATAACTGATAAAAATATCTGAACTGATTGAGAACAAAGACATGAATCCTAATCTTCAGTTCATTCTGAAAATATCCATCTGTATTGATAAATGTTCTACAAAGAAATATTTGTGTTCTGATTGAATTATCTTATATACATATATATACAGTATATGCCTATGCATTAGGTCTGACTAATGCAGCTTCTGTGGTTTTAACTACAGGCCGCTACTGACCTCTAGAGAACATACACTGAAAATGGCAGTTCTTGTAGCGGTGCAAAAATAGCAGGTGGTGCAAACAACAAGTATTTAGAATTTTAAAAAAGACAATTGACATAACAAGAAGAGTAAATATGTATAAACAGAACATTTTTTGTGCACGTGGGCACAGACAGAGAGACAATATTTCAGCGTTTGGTTGTATATGTGGCAACAAAAGCTCTGGGATGAAAGCTGTTACTTAGTATGTTTTTCCTTGTCGAAAAAACAACTCCAAAAGAATCTCCCCATTATTGGACTTGAATCTTTCACCAGGAATAGCTTCACAGGTTGCATCTTCAGCAGACTCATCAGATGTGTCTGTATCTTTTGGATGATACTCTTAATGATTTTCCACCTTATACAGATATCCCCTTATCCT